GGTATATAATGTAGACAAAACACCCATACACATAAAATAAAAATAATGCTAGTAAAAGATAACAAAAACTTCCTTTAAGCAACAACTGTGTAATGAACAGTATCTCCAGCATCTATGATCAGCAGGATTTCTAGTTCAATAGCTTCTGGGGACCTATTCAGAGGTCAGTTGTAGGGTCCAGACAGCCAGGAATGCCATGAACATTCTCTTTCTATAGATCTTAAATTTGTTGGCGACCTGAAAATTTGGCAGAATATAAAGCAGATTATCAGGAGACAAATGGCAAGCAGTTCATTAACACGTGTTTCAGTGGTGAAACAAATCCAAACTCTTGGGCAAGGTTTGTCAAAATCTGGGACCACCTCAGAAGCAGCAGCCTGCAATTGACAGTAGGACAATTGTAGAAAAGAGGAAAAAGCAGATATATTTAGAAGATGAAGATAATTTGTAAGATGAAGTACTTTAGATTTTTTATTTTCTGGGAGGGTCTTCCTGGCAATTATGAGTCCTGATAGGATGTGAAAGTTTTAGCACATTCAGGAATGTGTATGGGATTTTATTGTTTTCTTTCCTCTAGCTTGTTAACTGATTATCCCACTCTGATTTCCACCCTCCATCATTACTATCTTCCATCCTTTAGGATCATATTTTACTCATATCAGTGTTATTGCCCAGAGCCTAGGGCAAAGGCAAACTTTAGCTATGGGATATCTAAAAGACTACTTCAATGCATCAGTGAAAGAGATGATTCATAGCACAAGGGAAAAGATGAAGATTTACCAACCATCATCACACTGGAGAGAGTAAAGAAAGATAATGGGGTCTAGTGATCCCAAATCTGCCTTCTTGGTACTGACATGAGCTTTAGGTTTAGATAGAGGAAGAGCTGGGGCAATTGGTGAGATGCAGATCTATTAAGCAGTCTTAATCAAAGTATGGTTGGTTGATTATTATATTAGTTCTGGTTCAGCAAGGCTTTTGAAGGAATTAGCATTGTCATCACTTGTTGAAAGCTTTTCCTTATGGTTATTCCTGATCCACAGTGAGATATTGTCACAGATGACTGCCATTACTTGGTGTCAAGTTTAGCCCTTTGTCATAAATGTTTGCAGGTCCTATGTGTGGCTCCTTGAATAAAAGGTGACTACAGGTTTAGGACAATGACCAGAGACCTTCAGGTGGTTTGGGGAGTCTGAACAGAAGATTATATGCCTCTGTCACTGTTATCATCACTGTGGAAACAGAGCATAGTTTTGTAGGTTCTTGATCTTGTTGATAAAAGAATTTATGAGGCCACAAAGGGGAGAATCTGAAGATGGTTTTATTGGGCGTAGATTAAACAACAGCGTAAGTGGAATTGAGAACTCAGCACTTGTTAGGAGAAGGAAGAAGGAAAGAGGAGGCAAAGGAAGATAGCAAGTTACACTTTTAATAAGGTATATAGGTAAAAGACATACTTTATAGGACAAAGTAGACATATTGAGCAAAAAAAGAACTGGACACCAAGGGTTTTGCTTACCTAAGGGAAGCTGTTTCTCTTGGTATATTTTCTTTTGAAACCATTTTTAACTACATGAAGTTTTTCTGCATGCCTGTATTTTATATTGCGAATATTTCCTCAAACTCCCTCTCCCCTTTTTCTCAACCCTCTCTCTTCCACAAGTCTCCTTTGTCTCCCTGGACATTTTACTTCTATTTTCATACAACAGGCAGACATACACACATATGTAAACGGTTTAATATAGATATATAAAATCTAGGAGCCATAAATGAAAGAAAACATACAGCATTTGTCTCTGAGATTATTAGCTGTGGCAATGCAATATTATGAAGCTATCTCTTACATTCCAAGAGAGTGGAAATTTTTCTGGACCTCATTTGGTTAATTTGTTACAAACCAAAGTTAATAACAAATCTTGAGGTCACTTAAGAATATTCTCTGTTTACTTTGCTTTTAAGAGAACAATGTAAGAACCAACCTATTTGTCTTGGCTTTCTCAGATAATCAACTTTAACTTTACAACCTAAGCTAATGTTTAGCTGTAATATTAAATTTTGTACTTTTCCCTGCATTTTCCACAGAGTAATTCATATGTGTTCTGATAATCATTTGCGGAAAACAGCAAAAACAGAGATTGAAAACAATCTTATAAAACAAATACTAACCACAAATTCTGAACACAACGTATACAGATTTTGTTTGGTAAACAATGATGTTTGAATACTGTTTGTTATCTGGGTCAGGTGGGTGCAGTTGGAGTCAGTGACTTAATCCTTTTCAAAACTGTTAAAGATTTCTGTATAATGTCCTTCATTCCTTCCTCACATAATGAACTACACACAGACAGACACACAGGCACAGACAAAGATAAAGTGACAGAGACAGATTCACAAGACAACCTTCAGACAGGCACAGATTTAGATTCATACAACAGATAGGCAGGAGATTGAAAGACCTTGGGGAATGCAAAGCAGAGGGCTTGCTTTTTGATAAATGATACAAAGGAGCATTGTTTTGATTTCTTTCTTGATGCGATGCTGACACACTATTGGTGATTCATAGTCTATTAATGTGTTCAAATCAACCATACAACCAAAAATTTAATCTTATTAGTATCCAACAGCTTCCCAGCTTCCTTAAAACTCTGTGATTATATAAAGTCTGAATATTGCTGACTCACTCTGACATTGTGAGACAGTGTTTAGTGTGCCTGTCTATTGCTTTCTTTCCCACTGAGAGTAGTTTACTTGTCCTGTTCAGTGTCAACATTACCATTTGATAGACTGGTGGGCTGCTATGCTTGTAACTTCATGTGGCTAAAATTCCAGGCTGGCCTGCAAGCTATCCTTCACAGGAATGAAGCGCCTGGCCACAAGAATCTCTAGGAAGCTCACAGAATGGAAGAAATTTCACTTTTCACTAAAGAAAAAGTCAAATCTATTTGATTACTCAAGGGAAAGCTGTGTCTTTTAGTCTGATTTTTAAAATCTATGTTTTAGTTAAGGTTTTTGCATGTGTATTTATTGTATGTTTAGAATATACACAGTGTATGTTTAGAAAAATGTAGAAACACATATGCACAACTATATGTCTGCCTGAAATACCTAAGAACCACAAGTGAGAAAAAAACACATAGTATTTCTCTTTCTGAGACTCTTAGCCTGACTTTTTTTTGAGTTTTAGCATTTATTAAGTATGATTCACATTATTATAATAAATTAAATTAGCTAAAAACAGAACATTTCATGTAGTAATGAAGCATCAAAAACAAAACAAACAAACAAACAAAAACAAACAAAAAACCCAGTGACAAGAAAGGAGCACCTAGAAATGAAGGTAAAAATGATTAGAGATTTATCACTGTTTAATGATTTCTCAACTTCCATACAGCTATATGACTAAGTAAAGTTTTGAATATTGCTGACTCTTTCTGATTTGGTATCTTCTAGGGACTGACTCAGGCAGAAGCATCTTTTCACCTGATCCTTTCCTATGAGGCTTTGACACAGGACAATACTAGAGCATGGCAGGTTTCTCCTGGTTATTGACTGCAATTTCACCGGGATCCATTACTTTCTACCATTTAGCCGTTTATCAAGAATTTCTCACAGGAAAACACATAGTGCTTCTGCCTTCTTGCTTCTTCTGTTAGTTTTCTTTTCTTCTAACATCCGAGTTGAAAGAGAAAATAGAAGCTTATCAATTTTATATTCGTCTTATGTGATGGCTTCTTATCCACATAGAAAGAATATTATAATTCACTGTAAGAAAGGAAGAAAATCCTCATTCTATCCATTGTCAGGATGGGCCTGACTTGACTATTCAGTTTTTGTTTGTTCCCAGGATGAGTCTTTTCTTCCTTGGTCACTACTTCTCTATGGTCAGTGCTATGTTATTGTCAAGCCTTTTAATAGAATGTAACCTTATTTCTGTTTAGTTTAACAGTTGAGCCAAAGAAAAGACAAAATGTGTACTCATTAAACTTACATCTGATAAAATGCTGGGATAATATACAATAAAAGTTTTAATAAAATCAGGTAAAATTCTGACCCTGCCAAGAGATGTGCATGGACTGTAAATAACAAGATAAAGATTATAGTGCTATTGGAATACCAGTTGTAGAATTTCAAAACAAGGAAGTGTGATACTGAACAAAGTGCTACTTAAGGTTTTCTGATTCTAGCTGACTTTCTGAATTGATTTAGAGTAAAATTCGCCAACATGTTTTTTTGAGCTGCATTAATAGATGTGAGAACAATGTAAAGTGACACAAGAAAGCATGATGAATATTACCTAATGAAGCTGTAGGAGTCATGAAGAACTTGAGACTCAAGCACATATACTGAACATAATAAACAGAGTATAAGGTTTGTAGTGACTGAGATGGAGGAGAGCCAGCTATTCTATCTATTCTGGAAATAGACAACCATTTAAACAAAGGTAGCAATCCAGAGAGTTATCTGTGATATCAGCCTAGTTTTTCTTGAGTAGAAATGATTAAAGGAGCAAAATAGGGAGAATCTGAATTTTGAATGAAGCCTTAATACAGGGAAAAAAGAATTAGATAACTAAATTAAAGGTGACTATTACAAAGGAATTTTATTGTTTATGCACTTGGGCCCAGATGTCAAGCTACATTTGAGAAATTCTATAAAGTATTTTTGATAGGATTTATAAAACAAATAGAGGGCAAGGAAATTAACTAAGGTTCTGTAACAGAATTCATGTTAAGAAATGAATACTCTCATGACAGTTTTGCATCTTATAAAACAAGTCTGGTGTAATTATCAGGGGCAGATTGTCACAGCTAGTTTTTCAGTTTAGGAGCTGAAAATACAACGTCTTCTAATGCATAAACTTTCTGTGTGTGTTTCCTGTAAGATATCCTGTAGATACGTGAAGAGAGTACAAGAAAGTCAGTGAACTCACTCCAGCTTTATTGTAGAACCTTTGTAATTTTGACCCCGCCTATCTTGACAGAAATAAAGAATGCTGGAGCTTTGCTTTTCATTCAGCTCAGGCTGTTGGGGGAAGGAAAGTCAGAGTCAGACTTACTGGGCTGTGGATATCATGGATCTCAAACATAGTTATTCAGTGAAGCTGAATGATGGAAACTTGATGCCAGTGCTTGGATTTGGTACATTTGCTTCGGAAGAAGTAAGTGGAACTTTTGTGAACTAAAGGATTAGATATTAATGATCCTGGATATACTTTCAGAAGGAAGGAAACCTGCTCCTGATGGATGATTCATCTTGTCTTCCCTTTCATTGTCTATCATTTACTTCTGTTTATGCTTGGGGATGCTTATTGGTTCTTGACGAGATGCTAAGATGTTAGCTCTGGAGATTTGGAGGTTAATGCTTTTGTAGATAGATTTTTTTTAAATGTAACCAAACATTTTTATTTTATATACCTTTGCCTTTTTCTTTTTTTTAATTTTCCAGTTTAAATTTAGATAAGAAACGAGGTTGCTTCACAAGTCAGTTCCAGGTCCCTCTCCCATTCCCTCCCCTCGTCCTGTGCCCTCCCCCCAACCCCCCCGTTATCCCCTCATTCCCCCAGGGAGGGTGAGGCTTTTTTATGTATCATTATTGTTATTAACATTGTTTTCTGACAAATCTCAATGTTTACTATATATTTTAGGTACTTTCATATATGAGTGCAATGAATCTTTTTTTTGTTTGTTTTTATGAGATAGGGTTTCTCTGTATTGTTTTGGAGGCTGTTGGTCCAGCCTGGCCTCGAACTCACAGAGAACCACCTGCCTCTGCCTCCTGAGTGCTGGGATTAAAGGCGTGCGCCACCACCGTCCGGCGAGTGCAATGAATCTTTGATGTAAGTATTCTCACTAATTTTTAAATTATTATCATTATCATATAAAGCTATGGCTTCTCTTGCATCCTGCTCTTGGCTAGAAATTCATATGGGCAATGGATACTGGAGAGAATGGCTAACAGGAGGAACATTGGATAGCAGCTTTACTCTGAGTTTTTTAAAAGAAGATGTATTTGTTAGAGAATTTCAAGTATTTGAACATGTTTTTAAAATTTCCAACTTTATTTCTTTTTGTCTCTCTATTTAAAAATAACTCATTAAATCCAGTAATACTGACTATATGCATTGGACTATGAGGCCATCCACTAGAACATGCCAACCTATTTGGGGCCACATGCCTGCAGAAAATGGATCCCTTTTCCCCCCTGAAGCCATTAATTGTCAGTAACAGTTTAGCTGTCCATGCTGCAGTGTTTCCTGGATTGATAATGTGCAGGTTTTGTGCAGAGAACAACAGCTGCTGTCAGCCCATGAATGTAAGCCACTCTATCACACCCAGGAGACACTGTTGTACAACAGTTTTCTTGTTTCTATGATCTCTGGTTCTTATAGTCCTTTTTCCTCCTCTTCCATGATGTTCCCCGAGCCTCTTGAAGAAAGGGTGTGCTATAGAAGTCCCATCTAGGGGTGAGCACTCGGAAGATACCTATTTTCTGGACTTAAATAGTTGTGGGTCCTGGTATTAGTCATTTTCTATGGCAAAGGAAGCATCTTTGATAAAGACTGAGAGATGCACTAATCTATGGGCATAAAGATAAGTATTTGGAATGACAGTCATCTTTTAAAAAATGTCTATGAGAATCCACAATCATTCTGTTCATAAGTTAGTATTGAAGACTTGCAAGATATAAAGTGACAATGGGGATGGGATCACACGTCTTACTCAACAGCCCATTGCAGTGAACTGAGAATGTCTAACTCTAGTCACAGGTAATAGAAGCTTTGCTGTGGCTTGGGAAGGGTTGTTTCCAAATGACAGGGATCAATGTACTCAATGTTGGTGGAAGAATGATGAAATATTAGTGTCAGACAGAACCGGTTTACTTTAATTATCATTTGTGATAGATTAAGCATAGATTATGTGTTCTATAGCTTTTAATTGACATTTGTTACTATTGTTAAAGATAGAATTGTATCTTAGGGAACAGAACAAAAGCATTCCATAATGCTTGCACTTACAAAAGTAAAGGTAATGCATTCCTGTGAGAAATAGATTGGAACAAACAAAAGCTTGTTTCACAAGCTTTTTATTCTGAATGTGACTCTTACTCCACCAATGACCTCCTTATCGGGTCATTGCTGGAACAAAAGCCTGCTTGGTTGTGTGTCTTGTGACTTGTTTGCTTAGCCAAGTTTTCTGGGTACAACACAAACACAGGATATCAGATTAAGCAATTAAATCATATACTGATTGAAATTTGAGGACATTTTGTAAATATTATTGTCCTGACTGTCCCCAAACAATAGCTTTGTGAAGACTGGTCCTTGTCCTGTTAACAGTAGCTGGCCAGGGGAGTAGTTGTCAGTTCTCTGGGCATCTGCTACATCTAGATGTTCTCACTGTGTATTGTTTTTCTGGATATGGATTTAACATCCTGCCTTTCAATCTTCCCAGTTTTGATGCAGAACAAGGGACAGACTCATGTAAATTTTCTGCATGTAAAATTAGTGGATCAATTTTTGTCAGTAAGGACAAACATGAAATCAATAAACTATTGTTTAAACTGTAAAGGAATAACACGCATTTTACAGGTCTGGAGTATCATCTGTGATGGCTGTACTTTTGGTTTTGAATAAATGATTTATTAATTATGTAAGAAAAGTAAAAGAATGAATTATGAGGGTCAGATAGAGAGAAGAAACAGATATATAGCAAGACATTAAATCAGGGGACTGAAAAAATATCTAGTAGAAACTAACTGTGAATGCCCCATTGAGGTAGCCAGATGAGATTTCACAGTTAAAAGTCCATCCTGGCTGGGCAGAATGAAGTATCCCCTTGGGTGAGACTTTCAGATAGAGTTGACATTATCAAATTGGATGCTCAGAGCATCCAGCAGGAACTAACTGGGGAAGTTGATGCAGTAAGTTGGAGTTCCTCATTTAGCTCTGTCTCCTTGTGGATGGACTTCCTACAGGATGACTTGTTCTTTTTCTGCTTTTGTTCCTGTTCCTCCTTTTCTCCTTCTCTTTCTTCATGCTGTAGCCATTTCATATCATGGGATAAAAAACAATCACCTCTGTTGTGAATGACTTATATTCTAGCTATTTTTAAGTCACATGTTTTCAATACTGTTAGCTGCTTAAACTTTTCCTCTCTCTGGTATAAAGCCAGAAGGTCAGTCTGACCCAGAGCAGAGAGTTTTGGAGGAAATAAACATGCTCATGTTTATAGTTGGTGGAGGGAAAATCTGCTTCCAGGGATAGCTTCTCAATGATTTTTAGCAGCCTATTACAATATACATTTATGCAAATGCTTACTTAAAGTAATATTTGTAAATTATGTAGCTATTAATTGATAATTAATCAATCCAGTGTTCATGACCAAGCTTATAACTGGCATTGAAATCCACTGTGGCAATCACTGGAGTCTTCAATGCTAAAGATAATTTTTTTGTGTGGCTTTCACAACAAAATAGAGACATATAAAGCATAGATGGAGAGTTAAGATGATGATGATGATGATGATGATGATGATGATGATGACGAAAGCAAGGTCTCATGAATTCCAGGCTGGCCTTGTACTCACTATGTAGATAAAAATGACCTTGACCCTCTGATCTTCCTGCCTTTCCATCTCCCAGGTTCTAGAATTGTAGGTGTGGGCTACCCCATCCACTTTTCATACTGTCTTGTGTAATTACTCTCTCCTTCACTTCTTTTCAGAAACCACATGGAAGAAGGGAAGCCAGTCCTTTTGTTCATAGAAAATATCTAGTACTGGACAAAAACAAGGCACTCTGTAAATGCTAACTGCATTCATGCTGAACACAAGGACTCAAAAAGGAAGGGAATAAAAGAATCTGAGTGAACTGAAGAGTCTGTTAGAGTGGAAATTGAGAATGATGGACAATAATAATAATATAATTTTTCAGTTGTTACACCACACATACCTATGTGTATGCACACCTGTCCTATCTATTGAGTGCCTTAGAACTTTTCTCCCAGTGTGCAGCATTCCTACTAGCTGGTTACTTATAACTGATCTTTTTTGAATGGAAGTTGCATTCACATGTTTCATATGAATTGCACATTACTAATTCATTCAGTCAAGATTTAGAGGGTAGCCTTTTTTGTAGTTTGTGTTTACAGATAGATTGTAAAATCTATTATCAAGGTTTACATCATCAAACAAGGTCAACCGTCTGGCTGGCAACAACTCAGAAAAAATACTATGAAGAAATAAAAGGCTTTTTTCCCTGAGTTGGTCATAGACTCAACTTTTCCTACTCTTGTTTCATAGGTCCCCAAGAGCAAGGCCTTTGAGGCCACCAAAGTAGCCATTGATGTAGGTTTCCGTCACATAGATGCTGCATACTTCTATCAAAATGAGGAAGAAGTTGGACAGGCTCTTCGAGACAAGATTGCTGATGGAACTGTGAAGAGGGAGGATTTATTCTACACCACCAAGGTAAACTCTTACAGCCAGAATGACTGGAAGCCACTGCCAGTTCAGATATGTTACTGGGGAAGGGAGATATCACCCCTTTGGTCTTAGTTTGAATCATGTCTTTATTGCAAAGGCATGTTATAGAAACATAGAGAACAGGGCCAACAAGAAGACTCAGTGGAAAAAGATACAGGCTGCCATGCCATTTTATCCTGGGATGCACATGGTAGAAGAGAAATGATACCTGCTATCTTACCTCTACATGCATCGGTGATCTCTCTCTCTCTCTCTCTCTCTCTCTCTCTCTCTCTCTCTCTCTCTCTCTCTGTCTCTGTCTCTGTCTTTCTCTCACACACATACACACAATGATAAATAAAAAATAAAAATGAAAAGGCTTGTTTTCCTCCAACTGTATTAAATGCAGGATATAGCTGCTCAGTGTCTTTGAATATCAGACATTGTCTAGATATAAAATAAGGAACAGTTCTGTTGGATAATCTGGCCTCTTTGGGCCCCGAGTAACTAATTCTTTAGTAGATTACTAAATGAGGCTGAGACGATTGTTCACAAAGAGTAAACCCTTTTCTCAACTCAGCACTGGGTAGAATGAAATTTTCAATGTTTTCTCATGTGGAAAGGCAGCTTCCAGTGCAATTTGATCTGAGCTGATGTCTCCATAGATGTTTACTACTTATGTTTACACTGGTGGGATCTCTCAGAATTGCTTCTGGATTTACTAAGAACAGTAAATCCTTTGTTAACTTTGTATGCTGCGATTTGTTCAGTTATTTGGAAGCCTCACCCAAAGGGATATTTCATTTTGCCAGGATGGACTTGTAACTGGGAAATCCCATCTGGCTAACTCAATGGGGCTTTCAGAGTTAGTTTCTACTAGATGTTTTCCAGCCCCATTATTTAGTGGTTTGCTATGTATCTACTGCTTCTCTCTTTTTGCCCCTACCTGCAGCTTATCATTCTTGGATCTTTTGAGACCAAAACTTCTAATTTTTGCAACACTTAAGTTCGTTGTTTTCTAAATTTCGCTCATTTTCCTCACATTGTCATCACTCAAATAAATCTTGGTATTCTATTGAGGATGTGATCTATAAGGAGTAGAAAAATTTGGGTAGGGTTATGGGGAAGATCTGGGAAAAGTGGGGTGAAGAGAAAATCATGATCAAAATACATTGTATGGAAAAATTTTGATAAAATATGTAAAAAATTAGTCCCAGTTGTTCTTAGCTTAGCTGAGATCACCATAGCAGGTCTCTATTCTTTTACCACAATGTGTAATTTTTGTTTGGAAACTGTAGATTTGGACTACTTTCCTCAGACCAGAGTTGGTTCGTCAGTGCCTGGAGAGATCACTGAAGAAACTTGGGCTGGGTTATGTAGATCTCTGCATTATCCATACACCATTTGCTATGAAGGTCAGTCTTGGATTTTTGTGCCCTAGACTATTATAACTATTATATTATGTCAGGACACTGAGATTTTTCTGGGCTCCTTTGGGCTTTTGGCTTCATTTTCTTATGGTACATGTTTGCTGATCATACCTGATAGACTCAGAATCAAGTTATCATAAAGTGGAGCAAAAGCTCATGATTAATAGCAAAGTTTCTATCCTTTACACTATTCTGTCATTGGGAAATGAAATAAATTCCAATGGAAAGAACCCTCATAATTGTGAAATTTAGGGCTTCATAGGGAAAAAAGGAGGAGGCAATCAAGAGGAAAGATGTTCTGCTATAATATCTTAGACAATTTCAATTTTCCTTCTCCCAAGTCTCCCTTTAAAGATACATGTACACACATGTGCATATGCATGCATGTGCATAGCATGCACACATGAGTGCACAAATACACAGAATGATTACCACAATCTCCTGAATGTTGGGTGAGTAAGCTCATTAGGCACTAGAACTTGACTATTAGATAAAGTATTTGTTAGCTTCTCTTTTCTCTGTATTCTAGCCTGGAGAGGAACTTCTGCCAAAGGATGCCAGTGGAAAAATTATTTTAGAAATAGTGGACATTCGTGAAACATGGGAGGTAGGTACTGCTGCAGATACCATAAGGCATTGTGTGGCAAGAGAGGAACCAATTAATAAAGAATTAGAGGACATAGGTTTTGTTTCATTAATTGACAAACCTAAGGCATATGAATACCTATTTTATTGTACATACTATGCTGTATTCAGCTGATAACTCTGGAAGGCCTGCTCATTTCTGTAGGGAAAAGGAGGAGGAGTGGATCTGGGGAGGAGGAACTGGGAGGAGTGGAGGGGGGATCTTTGGTTGGGATATAATATATGAGAGAATAAACAATAAACCCTTCTCTATAATTTCATCTGTAGAGTATGAGTTGAGATGGATGAACTTAAGTTTTTAATATCAACTCCGATTTGAGGCAGACATTTCTTTGCCTCAGAGATCCAAACAACGATAAAGGCCATATAAAGGAGATCAGCAGAAAGAAACCCAAGAAGGGTTATGACACTATTTCAGGACAGAAAAATACACCTTTTGATAAGTGTAGTCTGCCTTAGCACAGAGCAAGCTATAATTGAGAATGAAACCTGCCATTATATATCCTATCTGATATATGCACAGTTTTTCAACATTATAAGAAAAAAGTAAGAATATACTTTTAACTAGCACAAGATCCAAGTATTATTTGTCTTTTACTATGATGGCATTTATTGAAGAACCATTGTATGCCTAACATCAAAACAGATGCCACTAAAAAGGATGGGGAAAGTAAGGGGAGACTTATATATATTTGTTGCTTTCAAAGTGCATGTAATTGAGCAGACAAATATTTATTCATTACAGGTAAGTGCATTAGGCAAGGCTGTATTCAAAGTGACAATATTGTTTTGAAATTGTAACTGAAATTATACAAGTAAATAAAGTTATTATGTAAGTAATTGAAATTATTGCCTAAGTGTACAAGCAAGCTCAAGGCTAAACTACAAAGCACAGAGTATGATAAGGATAAACTAGATATTTTCTTCCTCCTTAGGCACTGGAGAAGTGTAAAGACTCAGGTTTAACCAAGTCCATAGGGGTGTCCAATTTCAACCACAAACAGCTGGAACTGATTCTGAACAAACCAGGGCTGAAATACAAGCCCACTTGCAACCAGGTGAGCTCTTAGTCCACCTTGGCCATCCCTTACCTTCTGTGTTCACAAGCTTCTTCCTTACTTGATACTTCCAAAATTTCTGTTTTGAACCAGCTATTTGGGTTATATCTATTTTCATTGAGATAGGAAGTATCAGTGATGGTTCAGGTTCACTAGAGTGGGAAGAACAAGACAGGGGAAAGGCAGCTTGATTGACTAAAATCACTGCTCTTCTTAGAAGGAATACCACTGCTCAGCAACCCTCACAATGTGTGCTGTACTGAAAATCATACAAAATCTTAAAAACAAAAAATAGATTGAAATGAAGCACAGCAAAATTGTATTGCTGCTGTATTGTTCTGCTGGCACTCTAGACAATTTGTGGTGGTTTCTTTCCTAAATTTAGATGGAATATAATTTTTAAACACTTTTTAACTTTTACAGAATTTAAAGCTACAAAGGGCACTAAGAATTGTATGACTACAACATCCTTCACCAGCACCCACCAACACACCCAAGCAATAATTTCTCTTCAAAACAAATTTGTTATATACTATTTTGAGGTATTTTAGGGCAAGCATTATGCAATTTTTAGCCCATATTTTAAGAACACATGATTAAAAAATATCATTGCTAGAATACTGTTAAAGCTCTCACACTTTTAGCAATGATTGGTAGTACTAAATATCTTGCATGTCAAAGTATGATCATGTCTTTTTATTTCCTTGGTACTTGGGACTGAACCAGAGGCAAGTTGGAAGTGGGAAATTTTAAACTTAAAATACTAATAAAAAGACAGAAAAAATATTTCAGGGATTAAGTCAATATAGAAGTAGATCTGCCCTTAAGGCACTTCTAAAACCTGCATGACATTGTTGGCTCATACATTCTGATACTGTTTCGTTTTGGAAATTTACAGGTAGAATGTCACCCGTATCTCAATCAGAGCAAACTTCTGGAGTTCTGCAAGTCCAAAAACATTGTTCTAGTTGCCTACAGTGCCCTAGGATCCCACAGAGACCCAAACTGGTAATGGGACTATTGGACTTTATTTCCTTATGTCAATACTTCCATATTGACAAAGAATTAACTTTTAACCTTGTGAAAAGTTCAACCATGAAGAATCAAGTTCAACAATGCAGCAGTTCCTATGCACTAGAGTTGAGCTTCAGGCTCTCTAGTGGTCTTTTAGTCTTGCTTTATCTGTCTACCTGTTTCCAGCACTAATAAGCATATCTCTAAAAGGAGTTTTAAGGCATAATTTATAGAGATTAGACTGCAAATATCCTAGCCATTTTGTTTTGACTGTTGGGTAGCATGTAAAACCTACATTTGTATGAATAATATAAACCCAGAGACAAATATTAGGATTCAAGCTGAAGATCAGAGAAACAAAGCAGCCAAGCCACCAGAGAGTTCTTACCTCTACTGAGGCTGGGGCAATACTATCCTCAACATGACTGGAGACTAATTGCCTGCTATATTCTGCATGAGACTCTGAGCTCCTTATATACCTCTCTAGTGCTGGGATTAAGGCATGAGCTCTGTTTCTCTTTCAGACTGATTCACTCTCATGTAGCCCTGGATGGGTTTGAGCTCACAGAGATCTATCTGCCTCTGTTTCCTGAATCTTGGGCTTAAAGGTGTGTGCCACTACTGCCTGGACTCTATGACTGTGGCTAGCTTTGCATTCTGATCTCCAGGCAACCTTTATTAGATCATAAACAATATATCACCACACAGATTCATATCATTTCTATGAACTTTCTTATTTCTACCACATTGATTATTTGATTTAGGAGGGACTTAGAACCATCTTCTCTCATAATATCAGATGATGTTGTACAGAAGCCAAAAAGAGAATTCTCAGGAAAAAAATATGACTATCTTTCCAAGTCATGATACTGACTTACAGAGTATATAACATGTTATTGAAGATTTTTCAAAGAATACATGCAGCTGAAGTAATGAGCATATAGTTATATGTACAGATAAGCTAAAAAATCCAAAGGTTTAGGAAACTTGTACTGCCCTTACATTTATCAGTGAATTCCGAGTTCTATTTGTAGATGCAGAGACAGCAGGTTTGTAATGCATGCACTGGTTGATTTTTTTCCATCAACTTGACACAAGCCTAGAGTTATCTGGTAAGAGGGAATCATAACCAAAAAATCAAAAAGGAAAAGTTCCATAAGATTGCTCTATTGGCAAGTCTGTGTGGTATTGTCTTTATTAACAATTGGTGTGTGAGGGCCCAGCCCACTGTGAGTGGGTTCATCATTGTGGTTGTGAGTTGTATAAGAGAACAAGCTCATCAAGGCAGTAGGCAATATTCCTCCATGGCTTCTGCTTCAGTTCCTGTTGTGAATTCCTTTGATGATAGACTGTGATGTGGAAGTGTAAGCTGAGCTAAGCCCTCTCCTCCCTGGGTTGCTTTTGGTCATGATGCTATATCATAGCAATAGAAACTGTAACTAAGACAAAGCATAAGAAAGAAGACATTTTGTGATTGTCAAAGACATTATCTCTTGTCCTGTGCTTTAAATAGAGTGAAGTATTTAATGCAGAAACTTGATTTTCTAGAGTAAAACAAAATAAAACAGAAGCTAATAAGTAGGGATTATAAATAACTTTTTATGTGTCTTTTGAGGTCCTTATTCCTTCTATGGCAGTTTTTTAAACACTTTTTAGACAATTAGTTTTTTGCACTGCTCTTTTGCTCTAGAGAACTTTGCCTATTTTGAAGGAATTCTGTGCTTTTGGGTGAGGAGCATGGATTGAAACAGGGTCCTGCTATGTAGAGAGCTGTCTTCAATCTCCCAAGTGCTAGAATTACAGACTTATGCTCCCATGCCTGTCTGGAATCCACATAGCTGTGCTTTTGTGGCCCAGTGTGATCATAATTACCTATAGTTCATTAAATTTTATGGCAATTCCCCTGACTTCTTTCTTTCTTTTTCTTTTCTTCCTTCCTTTGTTTCTTTCTTTCCCATCTTTTCTTTTTTTCTTCCTATACTTTTAGCTATCAGTTAATGGTGGCTTAAAAAGCCCATGGAGGGCCTCACCCTCCTGGGGGAATGGAGTGGGAATTGGTTTGGGGACTGGGGAGGTTGGTCGGGGGGCAGGGGAGGAAGGCAGGGAGAGGGAGCTGGGATTGACATGTGAAGCAAGTTTGTTTCTAATTTAAATAAAAAATCTTTAAAAAACACAAAAAATATCAAAGAAATAATTCTAGAAATAAGTAACTCTTAATTTTATTTATTGTTTTTCATTTTATATACCAACCCCAGTTCCCCCTCCCTCCCCTTCTCCCATCCCTCCTCCTCATTTCCCTTCCCACCCTCTGTTCATTCTTCAGAGTGGGTAAAGCCTTCCTTGGTCAATACACAAAGTCTGGCATACCAAATTGAGGCAGGATCAAATTCCTCCCCCTGTATCAAGGCTGAGCAAGGTATCCCACCATAGGAAATGTGCTCCAAAATGCCAGTTCATGCACTGGGGATATATAGTGGTCCCATTACTAGCCTCCAAACAGATCAAGCTGCATAACTGTTACCCACATTCAGAAGGCCTAGTTTGGTCCCATGCAGGTTCCTGAGCTGTCAGTCCATAGTCTATGAACTCCCACTAGCTTGGGTCAGGTATCTTTGTGGTTTTTGCAATCATGATCTTGACCCCTCCTTGCTCATATGATCCCTCCTCCCTTTCTTCAACTAAACTCCAGGAGCTCAGAGCCCAGTGCTTGGCTGTGGGTCACTGCATCTGCTTCCATCAGTTACTAGATGTAAGCTTTATGATGACAATTAGGATAGTCACTAATCTGATTAAAGGGGAAGGCCCATTCAGACACCACCTCCACTGTTGCTAGTAGTCTTAGCTGGGGACATCCTTGTGGATTCCTGACAATTTCTCTAGCACCAGGTTTCTTCCTAACCCCATAATGGCTCCCTCTATCAAGGTATCTCTTCAACAATTCTTATTTTAAATTGCTCTATTATTCTAAGTAACTAGATAAAATCACATGCTACCTAGGATGAGAATTTTCCTTTTCAGTATGTCCTTACCAAATCTACTCCATGCTTGCTAGTTACTTGTGCATTGTTTGGTTTATCGGGACCACCATCATAGCATGGCAGAGCTTGCATTCAAGTAACCCGTATTTTAATTAATAAAGGCTCAAACGCATGAGAATAGTGCTACTTAAAATTTGGGTAGGGCAAAGAGAAGCACTTACTTCATATGAAAATGGGAAAGTTCTCAGCATAATAAAAGAGAAAATTTATACACTGAGGTTTCTAAGATACATGATAAAAGTGAATCTTCTGTCCCTGAAATGTCAAGAAGGAAAAGGAAATTCTTGCTAGCTTTGTTATATCACCAAACATAAGATTCACTAATGGAAGTTGGAAAAAGTATCACTTCACACATATATGTATAGTGCACATAGGGCTATTCCAAGACCATCTGAGGATAAAAGAGAATATTTGTATTTCTGAAATATCCCATTGCATGCACACCTGTCATACACAGCATTTATCTTCTCATCTTAGTTGTTTACAATTGCTACAAAATAGAGCCTTCATACAGTAGCTGATGGAAGCAGAAGCAGAGACGTACAGCTAAGAACTGAGTCAAACTCCTGGAAACCAGTTGTAGAGAGGGAGGAGGGATGAACAAAGGGATCAAGACCATTCTGGAGAAACCTACAGAAATAACTGACCTGAGCAAATGGGAGCTCACAGGCCCCAGTCTAACATCTAGGGAACCAGAATAGGACCGAACCAGACCCCCTGAATGTGGGCATCAGTTAGGAGGCCTGGGCAGTCTATGGGGCTTCTAGTGGTGGAACCAGTATTTAGCCCTAGTGTATGAATGAACTTTGGGAGCCCATTCCCCATGGAGGGATACTCTCTCAGCCTGGGTACATGGGGGAGGGCCTAAGCCCTGCCCCAAATGATGAGACAGACTTTGATGTACCCCCATGGAAAGCCTCATCCTCCCTGGAGAGTGGATGGGGGGTGGGATGGGGAAGTTGGTGGGGGGCATGGGAGGATGGAAGGGAAAGGGAACTGGGGATTGATATGTAAAATAAGATTGTTTCTAATTGATATTATATATACATACATATACATATATATGTAAATCTCAAGGAATACTCATGAAATTCTGTTTTAGCTATACTATATTGTACTTAATGTTTTTAATGGTCTGGGAATAAAGGTAAGATGGTAACATATTCCAGATTTGCCATCTCTGTGTGATTATGTTTTGTATATTTTATTTTTCAGGATTGACAGTGATAGCCCATACCTCCTGGAGGAACCTATCTTAAAGACCATTGCCAAGAAACACAACCGAACTCCAGGCCAGGTTGCTCTGCGCTACCTGCTACAGAGGGGTGTGGTGGTTTTGGCCAAGAGCTTCAATGAGAAGAGAATCAAAGAGAACTTCCAGGTAAAGGCGCAAGAGCATTTCTCTAGCATGAGACCTGGGGGCGATTTTCCTCCAATGGGAGCACTGATTGTTTATTTACTCCCATGCATTGCCTCTGTATGCTATAGACAGCAGCTTGGAAGGGCAGCAGAGAAAGTGCTGGGTAAAAAGCTCGTGGGTAAGAGGTTGGTGGGTAAAAGGCGGGATCTCCTCCACACTGGGCCTTACCTTTTGCAAGTTCTTTAACAAGATGCATTTCAGCTCTATTACTTCAGGTGGTTGTGGGAGTTCTTTCAGGTGGTAGAGACTTTAAAAACCTCCATTTATGTTCTTTACATTCTTTGCTTTACAAATCCCTGATTGTATTAAGGACAACAATTTGGGTTAATAGTTAATCCAAATAAGATGGCTGGTTGGTTAGATCACTGGACTATTCCAATACATTTTTCACTTTTTTTCTTCCATAGTACTGGGCATGGTTTTGTGAGTTTTTCACTGATTTACAATTATTTAGTTACATGCCTGTGTGCTTTCTGAAGTATGGGATGTTACATATGACCATTTTCCCATTATCACTGGTGTGTCTCTTGGCAGTAAAGGAGCTAAATAAATTTATAGACCGACCATATAAAGAAATCAATGATTAAAATTATTCCTTAAATTCTTGTATTTGCGATCAAGACCCCCTGAATCTGGGTGTCAGTGAAGAGGCCTAGGGAATCTATTGAGCCTTGGGCAGCAGATCAGTACCCATCCCAAGTATACACACGGACTTTGGACTCCAATAGAACAATGTGAGGTGCACTCTCACCCAGAACTCTTGGGAAAGGGTCTAGGCCCTGCCCTATATGAAATGACACACTATGGACACCCCCATGGAGGGCCTCACCCTCCCTGGAGAAATGAGAGGATAACGGGGGGGGGGGGGAGGGCACGGGAGGAAGGGAGGGAATGGGAGAGGGACCTGGAACTGACTTGTGAAGCAACCTTGATTCTTATCTAAATTTAAACTGGAAAATAAAATTAAAAAACAAAAAACAAAAAAAAAATTATACATTAAAAAAATCTCCCAGGGATACAATTAAAACTGCACACTTCTAGGCATGATCACAGAAAGTCAGATTTGTTGGTAGCAGTGACAGTGGGGGCTGACACAGAATTGACAGAAATTAATTTTTTTAGCTAAACTCCATAAATAAAATCATTGTTATGGGTTTCTTAAGTGTGTGTGTGTGTGTGCGTGTGTGTGTATGTGTGTGCGTGTGTGTACATGTACCTGTCTGAGTGCAGCCATGTACATATCACACTATCTGTATGGAGGTCAGAGGCCAATTCCTGGATGTCAGCTCTTCCCTGCCACCTATGGAACCCTGGGATTGAATTCAGGTCTCTGGCCTGAGTGCAGGTACCTCTACCTGATAACCCATCTGGCTGGTCCTCCGTAGGTGGTCTGATGCTGGAGATTCAGACATGAGGAGGGAAATAAACATGGCATGAGAGGAGACAAGGCCCTGTGGAGGAGCTGAGTGCTGTGACAGGTGGTAACACCTCTGGCACCTAAACTTTAAGGACAGGTAGAATTTTATACATCCCTCCACTCTTTGCTATTTGGAGGGTGTGTGGGGTTAAAGGCATCCCCTGAAAGACTCGTGGAAGCCCTGGTCTAGAAATGTGAAGGTGGCCGTACTGGAAATAAAGGTCTTTGGAGATGTGGACAGTGCAGAATCTTGAGACCATTCTGGATTACTCAGTGGGTCCTAAATCCAGTGACACGTGTATGCAATACACAGAGAACAGGTACAAAGAGGAGAGAATGGCTACGTGAAGATAGAAGCTGAGATTATAATAATGAAGCCAGAGCCAAGAACTGCCTGGAGCCATCCAAAGATGGAAGGGGCTGAACGGAGTCTCCCTTTGGCCCCCAGAGGGAGAGCATCCCTACTCACGCCGAGAGAATGTATTTCTGATGTGTAAGCCATACACTTTTTGGTTATTTGTTGTGGCTGTCCTGGAAACTAGTACAGGGGTTTGTATCCTAGACACACGAGTGTCCCTACAGAGGTCACCAAGACTAGACTGAGCACTGGAAGTCGCTGCCTGCAGGCAGACAGGACTCGGAGCCCCAAAGGAGAATAACAGCAAAAACACAGTGTGGTGGTGCCTGTGTAGGTCTGTTACTGTTCTTCTCTTGTGGTGTAGGGACTTGCTTTGCTTGGGATATTTTTTGTTTTAATTTTTATTACATACACTCATATATTTTATTTTGAAGATGATTGTAACAAAACAGCAAACATTTATGGATTGATTGATTGAGCATTAAATGGTGGATTAAAGTAAAAAAAAATTCTTGTATTTGCACTAGCTAGTCTCTCATACCAATCAGTGGTTTTTCATTTGTTCTTGTTTAGAATCCTGTAAGGTTAAAACATTACCCTTTTGTTTGTATTTGTGTTTGAGGGCTTACTCACCAGCACACAGTGGATGGCCAGAGGATAAGTTGTGGGAGTTCTTCTCCATCTACCAAGTAGATCTCAGAGGTGGAACAAAATGTCAGCAAGCACCATTACCCACTGCTGGCTTCAAGGTCACACTGTATCCACAGTTGAAAAGTAAAGAGGGCTGAATGCTGGAATTCATGCTCAACTCTTCTATGCTTTGTGAAGTTCAAGATCCCCTGCTCACGGAATGATCCTTCCCACAATTAAGATGGGTCTTCTCAAGCCAGGCAGTGGTGGCATAAGCACTCCCACACTCAGGAGGTAGAGGCAGGCAGATCTCTACAAGTTTGAGGCCAGCCTGGTCTACAGAATGAATTCTGGGACAGCCAGGGCTGTTACACAGAGGAACTCTGTCTTTAAGATAAAAAGGGGTGGGTCATCTCATATCAATGAACATAATCAAGATAATCCTAACAGGAATACCCTATGATTCATCTCAATGATGATTCTAGATTATGTCAAGTTGAGTTAGCATTAAATATCACATCTACCTTTAATAGATAAATGATTGGTTAGACATATATTTTGTTTTCATATAAATGCATATATATATATATCAGAAGTTCAAGGCATTCTTGGCTATATAGATAGTTTGAGGACAGTTTGGGCTACATGAGATTCTGTCTCAAATTAACAAAATCACTTATTATATGTAGTAGTATGTAGACAGATAGATGGGACCCTGCAGTTTTTTTAAATGTGTGTGTATATGGTATATGTATTATTGTATATGTCCTCTACCTGTCTCTTTACTCCCTGCCTTATTGTCTTGAGACAGGCTCTATCACTGAATACTCAAGTATGATTATAGCCTGCAAGCCCCAGCAGTCCTGCTGTCTCCTCCACTTTATAGTACTGGGGTTATAGGCATTCTTATGACTTTTTTTTTGTTTGGGTGAGAAGATTTGAACTCAGTTTCCTATGCTCATGCAGTAAGTGATCTTACCCACTAAGCTATGTCTGCATGCTAAGATCTTGAATTTTTGATGAACTTTTCTCCTGATGAGGTAATTGACAACATATTTTACCAAAGATCTCCATGCTTTTCTTTTCTTTTTTTTTCTTTTTGGTTTTTCGAGACAGGGTTTCTCTGTATTGTTTTGGAGGCTGTCCTGGAACTCACTTTGTAGACCAGGCTGGCCTTGAACTCACAGAGATCCGCCTGCCTCTGCCTCCCAAGTGCTGGGATTAAAGGCATGCGCCACCAATGCCCGGCTGATCTCCATGCTTTTCTAATAAAGCACTTTCCATTGGGAGCTCCATATTATCAAATACAAACAAAGATGGATTTGAGTGAGAGAGACTGACTCAGGTAGGAGAAATCATTTAATACAGAATCCATTATCTCAGTGATCAATCAGAAAGGTTCTTTTGATAAAGAAGAATAAACGTAGATAGTGTTTGAGAACACAAGACGATTGAGTGGTATGGCTGAACAATGGATCTGGGAATAATTTTTCTTCAACTCAATCAAGTCCTGTCGAGGAGTTAGACTATGCTCTATGATTGGGTGATGAGTCTTCCTTTTGTGAAGTGGATCAAAGTAGGAAACAGATGGGAAAGGAGGGACTGAAATACTCAGTCAAATATTCTGAGACCAGGACTACCTGGAAGCCAATGGTGACAAAAATTCTCCACTTAAATCCATCCTTGTTGCTATCTCCCTTATATTTCCAGGTAAAAGGCCACTTCAATGGCTTATTTATTTTGTGCCTCTGTCTTTCTAGGTATTTGACTTTGAGTTGACCCCGGAGGACATGAAAGTGATTGACAGCCTCAACAGAAATTTTCGATACAGTAAAATGTCATTGTAAGTAACTCTTTTAGAAGGCTTTATATGTTGCTTGCATTTTCTAACAAGCAGGTAAGCCATGAAGATTTTCTTCAGGATCCAGGGAATGATCAGCGTAGCAAACTTTTGCTTTTGAACAGTTGAATTTATTACATATATACATCAAGTCAAAGTAAAACAGCAAGTAGCAATAGATTGCAAAAATGATTAAATTGTGCACTCAAAATACCCAGAACTTGACTGAGACAGTTCCTTTAAAGCAACCATCCTTACTTCTCATTAGAGAGGGTCCTGAACAGAGCCCAGGGTCTACTCAGGTGAGGCTTCTAGGTAAAAGGGCATGTAACAGCAGAAAAGTAGCATTGTTAAACTGGATGTTTGCAAACACCCAGCAAAAACCAACTGGGGAAGTTAAGGCAGTCAGCTAGAGTTTCTAATAGATAGGCCTGAGCAGGGAAGAGTGACCCCCCTAGGGTGAGGATTCCAACTAGAACAAACAGCAGAAGATAGAGATAACGTCTTGCAACACCCAGTCTGGGAATACAGAGATCCACCAGTTACTGGTGGCGAGGAATTGAAGTAAAATTCAAGATTCAACAGAACCAGGGGACTCCACACTCTGCTGCAAAAGAACTCCTTTACTGGTATTCTGTGGAGCTTTCTTTGTTCTGGAGAGCTCAGAGTTCAAAGGAGGGAGAGAGAAACAATGAAAAACATTCAGACTATTTCTTATCACTAGATATACTCAGGAGACAGAAGATCTCTTGGCTGAATGGGGCTGTTTGAATAATGTCCTTGATCACACTAAACTTCATAGCTGAGAAGGGGAGGGGACACATTTTACCCTTGACACTCATTGGCAGGTGGGAGGTATTCTCTTCCTGAGTATAACAAAGTGCTATGGGAACGAGTTGACCCAGCAGGGCAGTATATGAAAGTCTATTATTATAAGCAGGTCACAGGGGAAGATGAGGCAGTTCCCATGACTGAATTTTTGGCTTCTTTTTCCCATGGCAGGCACTTTTATATTGTGGAAACCTCCCACTGTTCTCAAAAGCACGATGATTTCACTCTTGGGCTGTTTACTGCTTTCTTCTTTCCCTGTTAAAGTTTTTTTCATGGGGTGTAGGGACATCCCAACACTAGACAAGGGGCTTTGGAGGATACGTTGAGACAAAAATACTTTGAGACTTAAATAAGGGAATTGGCAATTCTGCTTCCAGAGCCAACTTTTCAGTGAGCTCAAACAACACATGGTAGTTTTTCAATATAGTGGCATTACAGAAGGCATACCTAGTTTTCACAATAGGGTTGCAACAAGTGCATTTCTATAGACCTCAGAAGAGAGGGATTTCTTTTGAAGTTCATGATGTGTAGCGAAACTCAGGACCAACCCCTTTTCAAAACTGGCCAAGCTGGGGATGTAGCTCAGTTGGTACAACGCTTCCCAAGCCCCACATAAAAAAGGCACAGTAGCCTAAACCATTATTCTCAGCCCCAGAGTAGTCAGAAACAGGAGAATTAGAAGTTTAAGGTCATCCTCCATTACACAGTGAGTTCAAATTAAGCACAGAATACATGTGACCTTGTCCCTACAAAACATCGAAGTGGCCTCATTGTGAAGTAATGCCCTATGACTTTTGGCCAAATCAATAATGTCTTCAGGGCTCACCTGCGCATTAGACACAGAGAACAGACTATCTATGGGTCATGATATATTAAGAGACCCATAAAAATGCTTTCTCATTAATGTGAATTAAAATAAAGATAAATAAAAGTGAATTCAATAATAACATACAGTAATGCATCAAGCCTATTCTAAATTTGCCTGTACTAAAGCAGTGTAACATGTGCTTCACATAATCTTTGTGGAAGATGGACTCTCAGAGTTGATATGAGTAAGTAGTAAGTCCTAGGGGAAATATAATTCTCTTTTAGCTTCCTCTTCTCTATATTCATTGGCGTTTGCCCTGAGTTAGTCCTTTTCCAAGCTACATCTATTATTCCCAAACGTATCTATTCCTTGACTTTTATTTTCCTATCACATCCCTATTTCTTTAGCTATATAATCTTACTAACTTGAAATATAGGAAATCATGAAATGGGTCTATCAAGATGGCTAAGTGCATATAGAAGCTTATCATGCAAGCTCAACAACCTGAGTTCAGTTCCAGGAAAGTTAAAGGACAGAACTGACTCTACAAAGCTGTCCTTTGACCTCAACATGCATGTCTTGTCACACTACTACTACTACTACTACTACTACTACTACTACTACTACTACTAAAATAGTAATAACATTTTAGGAAGAAAATAATGAAATCAGTTGATCTATAACTATAGTTGTTGATGTGTTCCATTGCATTTAGCAAGACAGGATCCACTGAAGTTTGTCTGGGTCCTCAAATCATGACTATCCTTATTTGTCTATCAGAAGTGTGACTCATGAAAAAAACAAGTGTTTCTTTTTCTCTTCCAGTGCAGTGGATCACCCTTACTATCCATTTTTGGAAGAGTATTAAGCACGAGCTGCTAACCATTACAGAGATGTTCCTCCTCCAGCCACTGTGGATGTTTATTTGGTTGAGTTATTGAGAAGCAGTATTACTGCCTCCAGGTTCTTGTCTATGAATCTCAAGTGAGGACATTTATTTTTCCTGATGATTAAAAATAACACACAAATTGCAGATAATCCATAAAATAAAAGGAAGTATGTGATATAGCTTTTTTGATTCTTATATAATTTCACATCTGTATTTTATTTACAAAATTGAAATCAATTTCAACACATGGACCATATGCTTTTAAAATGCATTTTGTTCAAGTTCTTGAACATTATTCAAGAATTTTAGGACACTTTTCTGATTGTAAAGAAATGGATCTTATTAACTTATTTAATTTCTTAGTTACCAAAGCAGGTTTGGGTAATTTTACTAGTTGGCACTGGTATGCATTGTTTTCTTCCCTAATGAAACTTTGTTGAATATCTTCCCCCCACCCCCTGGGGGATTTTATAATAAATTAGGAAAAATTAGGCTGAGTTTACATATACACATTTTGAGTATGAAAGTCTACTTGAAGAAGTAGGCTACTAACAAATTATAAAACCAGAAACATTCAGTGGGTAATGGGGAGGGGTGTGCTAGAGTGGTCTCAGAGGTTAAAAGTATGTATTGCATTTGCAATTTGGTTCCCAGTACCTGTGCTGATTGCTCACAATTGCCTGTAACTCTAGCCTCAGGACATCTGAGTCCCTCTTTTGCTTTGGGAACATATATTCATGTGCACCTACCTGCTCACCCCCACATAATTAAAAAGTTAAAAAATAACATTGCAAATAATCTGGGCTCCTAATACTCAACATTTTTCTCCTCTTATTCAACCTGATGAATGTTCATGTGCCATTGGATTGTTTCACTTCATGTTCTGGGAACTAGAAATGCAAGAATCAACTAAAAAATGACCTTACTTTGGCCACAGATATTGTCATGTGTAACAAAGTCTCAGTTTGTACCACCATGTACAAAACATATCGAGCTAGTTTATTATTTTGCAATAAGATTAAAATCTCAGACCTTCCATATTCTTGACAGTTATTAGGAGAAATTCAAGAGTTGGAAGAATGGACAGTTGTGGTGAAGTGTAAGTACTGGGTGCTATTTCTTTCCTTCCTTCCTTTTCATTTTGAAACAGGGTCTCTCTACAAAGCCTTGGATGTTCTAGAACTCACTATATAGACCAGGCTGGCCTCAAATTCACAGAGATCTGTCTGCCTTACTTCCAGAGTACTGGGTTAAAGGTATGAGCAACTATGTCTGGCTCTATTTTCTTACTTTTAACACAATATTTTATTAGTTATTTGGGAATATCACAGTGAATATTATATATCGTGATCATATTTAACTCCTCCACTTCCTCTAACTCCTCCTAGATCCACTGCAACCCCTACCAATTTCATGTATTCTTTTTTATTTTTAATTAAAAATGTTGGAACCTACTGAGTCCAGTTTGTGCTGCCCACATACTCATCATGAGTCACTTATCACCACTTAATGAAAAAGACTCTCTCCCTGATCAGTCATCAGTTATCAATACTCCTCAGCTAAGGGTGGGTGCTATTTTCAATAGGCTGAGCAACAATGATGCTATTGAAACCTGACCAGTAGTAGTGATTATCTTCACCAGAGCATAATGAATCCTTAAGTTTTCATCTCATGTATCAAGTTGGAAACCACCTCTATGTTTTTATTTATTTTTATTTAATTTTTTTTCACTTTACATATCAAGCCAGTTCCCCCTCCGTCCCCTCCTCCTGCCCCACACCTTCCTAATATACCCTCCATCCATTCTTCAGAAGGGATAAGGCCTCCCTTGGGGGGTCAACAAAATCTGGCATACCAAGTTGAGGCAGGACCAAGCTCCTCCCTGCTGCATCAAAGCTGGGAGTCTGTGATCTCCCACTAATTCTAGCCAGCTGTTTCTGTGAGTTTCCCCATCATGGTCTTGATCCTACTTGCTCATAGGATTCTTCCTCTCTCTTTTCAACCAAAGTCCAGGAGTTCAGTTCAGTGCTTGGCTGTCAACATCCTTAGCCATCAGGAATGGTTAAGATAAAAAAGCACTATGACAGAGGATGTAGAGTAAGGGGAACACTCCTCCACTCCTGGGGGGAGTGAAAACTGGTACAGCCACTTTGGAAACCAGTATAGTGGTTTCTCAGAAAATTGGGAAACAGTCTACCTCAAGAGCCAGCAATACCACTCTTTGGCATATACCCAATAGATGCTCAATCATACCAAAATGTCACTTGCTCAATTATGTTCATAGCAACATTATTTGTAATATCCAGAACCTGGAAACAACCAAGATGCCCTTCAACAGAAGAATGGATAAAGAAAATGTGGTACTGAGAGGTTAAAAAAATGACATCATGAAATTTGTAGGCAAATAGATGGTACTAGAAAAAAACATCCTGAGTGAAATAACCCAGACACAGAAAGACAAACACAGTGTGTACTCACTCATAAATGTGTATTAGATGCAAAGTAAAGGATAACCAGGCTACAATCTACAACCCCAGAGAAGTTAGGTAAAAAGAGGACATGCATGGAAGACCCTAGGTAGGGGAAATAGTTAAGGTCAGGAGGGAATAGGGATGAAAACATGAGATATTGAGATGACTCAGTGGGGAGGGAGATGGAGAGGGAGAGCAATGAAAGAGATATCCTGATAGAGGGAGCCATTATGGGGTTAGGGAGAAACTTAGTGCTAGGAAAATTTCCAGGAGCCCACAAGGATGATCCTAGCTAAGACTCCTAGCAATAGTGGAGTGGAATAGTAGAATAGTGGAGTGGAATAGTGGAGTGTCTGAATTGGCTTTCCCCTATAACCAAATTAGTGACTACCCTAATTGTCATCATAGAACCTATATCTAGCAACTGATGGAAGCAAATGATATTATGTCTTAAAGGTTTCTTATAATCTTGTCTTACATTAAGCTTTACTTGGATCATTCCTTTTATTATCACTGCTTAAATTTATACTCAGGATATTGTGCCATCACCTTTCATTGTTCATACAGATAAGCAATGCATCCACATATCTTTCTCGTTGGACTTCCTCTGTTTTTTCAGGCAAGTTTTTTACCTCCCTGGACTGTCTGCTTGGTTACTTGTCTCGTTGCCCAGAGAAAATGCTACACAATGGACATCATAACTTGCTTACAATCCCATCCTATATTTGTTACTTTCAGGGGCTATAGTATATTATTTAGTCTCTCAGTTGCTTTGGAGGAACATCTACAATCATGTAGCACAGCTCATTCCTCAAGGAGGTATGCTAATCTATGCCACATAGTGAAAGATGGCTATGCTTTGAATTTCCCTCTATAGACATGTTATTTTTAGAGGAAGCAGTCTTAGATGCATGTCTTTTCATGTATTTCAGTGACAATGCCACTGCTAGTGTAGTAAGAATTCCTGCATTCCCACACCACCAATGGGAGGAGTGGATGTAACAGTATTACCTCTGAGGGCCCCCCACTTGATTACATGTGTCATTACACATTAGTGAAACAATGCAAACTCAGCTACCTGCTTTTGTAAAATGCTGTATTTTTACTTTAGTTTGTTTTCTTTTCCCTGAGCGGAATTGAGGAAGAAGTCTTGAAGAGAAGGCTGGTTACTAAGAAAACCCTTACATTAAATAGAAGAGATATCCTTCCTAATTGCTATGCAAACCTCAGCATAAAATATAGAAAACATGGAAAAATACAAGCAATAGGAAAAGGAAACAATCACCAAAGTGAAGGGACAGCGTATGAAATACATCCAGTGACTGATGGAAGCAGAGGCAAACATCCACAGTTAAACACTGAACTGAACCCAAGGAACCCAGTGACAGAGATAGAGGAGCGATGAGCAAATTGGCAAAGAATGGGCTGGTAAAACCAGCAGAGACAGCTGATCTGAACAAGGGAGAGCTCTTGAACCCCAGACAGACAGCTGGGAGGCCAGCATGGGACTGATCCAGACCCCCTGAATGTGAGAGTCAGTGAGGAGGCCTGGGCAACCTATTGGGCCCTGGGCAGTGGATCAGTGTTTATCCCTGGCATACAAATGGACTTCATGTGTTCATAACACAAAGAGTGATGCTCTCTCAGCCTGGACTCTTAGGGGAGTGCCTGGACCCTGCCCTGAGTGAAATGACAGACTCTGGATATCCCCTATGTGGAAGGAAGTGGCGATAGGGAGAGAGGTTGGGAGGGGATAGTGGGGAGGTGCGGGAGGAGGGGAGGGAGAGGGAACTGGGATTGACATGTGAAACAAGCCATTTAAAATTAAAATAAAAAAAGAAATACAAGGGAACCCTTGCCAGCTATTCATTTTCCAAAGTATAAGTATCCAGAACATATGAGGAACTGAAAATCAAAATAATAGGCTACTCAACCATAAATGAAAAAGCAAACAGTTCTAGATTGACAAATAAAGAATATAAAAATATCCACTGTTTACAGCAATCAAGGAAATACAAATCAAAGCTAGAGATTCTGTCTTACACCAACTAGATGGCTGACATCAAGGAAACAAAGACCAACAAATGCTGTTGAAGGGAGATGGGCCCCTTTATAGTGCTGGTGAGAATGTCAATCATTTCAGCGAGTATGCAAATCAGTATGAATAGTTTCAGAAAACTAAAAAATAGAACTTCCTTTTGGTGTAGCTATGCTGCTCCTGGGTGTATATATAAAATAATCAAAGTCAGTATAATAAAAATATCTACACACCTTTGAATTTTAAAGGTACTTTTCACAATGGTCAACATATAGAATCAGCCTAGGGCCAATTAGTAGATGAATGGAAAAAGAAAATGTGGCATGTATATATACATATACATGTATACGTAAGTATGTATGTATATATGGAATGGAGTTTGATTTAGACATAAGGAAGAACAAAATCATCTTATTTATACCAAAATGGATGAAGCTAGGGGAAAATCAGCCTGTTAAACATAAAAATTCCAACTTAGAAAGGCAAATAGCTCATGTGTTCCCCATAGCTAGTGTCTAATTTTTGAAAAAGACATAAAAGTAGAAGAGGGAATATTTAGGGGGCCAGAGAGGGAACAAAAGGGACTATGGGAGAAGCAAGTATGATCAAGACACCATGTGTCTGTCTGGAAAAGTCACAATGAGTACCCTATTGTTTAGAAAGCAAAGAAGAAGAGATACCATTTTCAAGTGAAAATGAGAGCCCATCAGTAGGAGTTACTTTCTAGGTATGATCAATCAGTTACTATCCACCAGTTTCCTTTTTAACAATTTAAAAAAGTAATTGTGGACTGTGAACAGAATCTTTTCTTCTACAAGAAATTCATGGTTTCATTTTCACCCTTTAGTAATTTATCGGAGTTTACTTTCATACAAATGCAAGCAGCCTCTAGCTCTCTTCTCTGTGGACTACTGCTTTAAGTGGCTCCTCCCACAAGCCACTGTTTCACTTTCCACTAGAATTTAAGGAGCTGTCATATTTTGCTGGTTTGTAGCCTGTGCAATCAGAAGACTCAAGGATTGCTTAGTTGCATGAATAACAAGCTATGGATTCTGTGTCTCTGCGTGTGACACTAAATGATGGTCACTTCATCCCTGTACTGGGGTTTGGAACCACTGTGCCTGATAAGGTAATTCTTGTGTCTTGGGTATAAGGGTTTACAAAACAAAAAGCATCAAGGATGTGTAGCAGCTGAAGGGGACTTTCAGATTTGTTCCTGTTTGACTGAGTCACAAAAATTCCAGATTAGAGCTACCCACATGTAATAGAGAAGGCTGTCTTGTTATTGTTCTGTGGGGACTTACCATGTGGACAGTACTGTTTATTCTGGGCTCCATTTATCCTTGAGTTTCAGCCTGTTTGGCAATAAGTGGAAAGCAGCCGTTAGTGCTACTGTTGTGCTTGACTTGATTGCAAAGGGATTAGTGACATGAATTATTTCTGAGTTAAGTAATCACTCCTTTCTGGTAGATATGATCCCGATAAAATATTCTTGGTAGAATTTACTAGAGAAGTGGTTTATGAAAAACGATGAGGTTATTGTGTTCTGCTGAGCACCACAGCACAAATTCCAGACGTGTGATGAAATAAGCTTTGCTTTCCACTTTTACTATAGAAACATTTACCTAAAAAGAAAATACTACATTTTTCTGGTGTACTGTACTTTAATAAAGCAACTCTAAATTCTTGCTCCATGTTCCTGTTCATGGCATTTGAATCTAAATACTGCATGAGGTTCTCATGGGAAAATGCCTCCATTCTGATTTTATCCTATGGCTATTCAGAGAGTGGCAAGGACTAGTTCTTGAATCCTGAGTTGCAGTTTTCTCTTGCAGAAGACATAATCACAGACATATCTTGACCTCTTTTGATGGGAACTTTATGTCTTAGCGTACACAGATCGAAATAGTGTTAAGTAACAATGATATTACAACAATAGCAGTCTCAGTAAACCTGTAGAGGTCAGTACAACTTAGAGAAGGACAGGATTGGGTGTCAGAGAGTGCAAAGAGAAAACTTGGAACTGTAAGGATTGCTCAGTAGTTAAAAGTACTGGCTACTCTTGCAGAAAAATTGGTCTCAAGTCCTAGCACCTACACAGTGGCTTACAATGTTTATAACCCCAGTTCTGGGGCATCCAACATCCTCTTCTTACCTCTGCTGTCATCAGACAAGTGATGCATAGACATACATGCAGACAAAACCATCACATGCATAAGATGAAAAAATTTAAATGGAAAACTGTCAAAGAAGAACATTATAATATTTTAGGAAGACTGACTACATCTGGGAAAACAATTCCTGGAAAAATGTGTGGGTTCTTTGATGACTTGAGTTTGATTGATCCCTAGAATATTCATGATGGAAGGAAAGAACTGACTCTCACAGTTATTCCTCAGACTTCCAGATGTATGACACATACAATACAAAATTAGAAAAATTTTAAAGCTCATTTTAATTCTCTGTTGGTAGATGAAATAGATCCATTTACCATGAAAAAAACTCTTTTGGTTATATTATTCACAAATCATTTTTCTTAAAATTATGGAACATAAATGTAAATTATGTATATACAACAATACCTAAAGTACACAATTTTTATTATCTCATTTATAAAAGAAAGAAAACATCAAATTAAAGGTGCCAGCTGCCACATTGAACAAAAGAGTACTATAAACACTTTTATATAGTAGAGATGATATGTGTTTCATTTCTAAGAATGTTTTCTCTCACAGTAGAACCAGAACAAATATTTATGTAAATAGGTATTTCTATGTAACATTTGGGGGTTCATGTAACTGTTTTAGTGACTCATAGCATTATTACTTCTTTTTACTTGTATTAAATATAACATTTTGAGTTCCATGTACATTTAAGTTAATGTCATCATTGTTGGCATTTTTGAAAGGTTTATTTTAATTTCAATGTGTGTGTGTGTATGTATGTATGTATGTATGTATGTATGTATGTGTGTATTATGTATGTATGCATACATGGGGCCATGGGCAAGAGGCCTTGAGGCCCAAAGGTGTAGTATTCCACCGAACTGGAGTTATAGACAGTTGTGAGCCACTTGACATGGGTGAAGGGAAATCAGAATCAGGTGTTAATAAGATACAGCATCATTTCTGTGAACTGTACAAATGCATGTGCAGGTCAAATTCATATTTGACATAATATTGGTTTATTTAGCTCTTCCTGTTTTGCTGAGCTATGCAAATTCAATAATTAAAAAGCAGTGATCAAGTCCTAACATAGTTCACATTTTAGACTTCATTAATAATCAAATGCAAAAGATAAATTGGAAACGACTGCTAACTCCACTTCATCATGAAACCAATGATGAAAATGTACTTTGATGCATCATCATTCAGCAAAACAAGATTATTATTATTTTGGGTTTTCCAGACAGGGTTTCTCTGTGGCTTTGGAGGTTGACCTAGAATTCGCTCTGTAGACCAGGCTGGCCTTGAACTCACAGAGATCCGCCTGCCTCTGCCTCCCGAGTGCTGTTATTAAAGGCATGAGCCACCAAACACCTGGCAAAATAAGATTTTTTTAAAGTTCCTGTTTATCCAAGTCATTCATGAGATAGGTTTTCAATGGACTGTGAAAGCAAAATATTGAATGCTGTTCTCTCTCCTTTATTTTTGTTCTGGTTCCAAGTCAACAGACAGAGAACTGTAGTAGCCACCTGTAGTAGCCCCACATTGTGGCGCTGATCTGTATTAACCCATCTTTGTGCCCCACATTGAGGGGCTTTCTGTAGTAACCCTACTTTGGGGGGCTTCAGTTGGATCCAGCCAACTTGCCTGGCACGTACTTGAGAGGGGGAGTGTGGATAGAGAACCTGCAGGTAAAGATTCTAAGGAAAAGATAGAGACAAGAATGCAACTGGGAGGGAAATCCAGTGAATACTGAATGCCCAAGTTTATTATTCAACATTCTTATATACCTTAATCCAAAAGGAGATGATTGCTTTATCATGATACAAGGAACAAACACACTTTCTTCCTTAATTCTCCAAACACTTAGTTACTACGCCTTAGACTAAATCTTTTGTTATCTGGCCTTGAGGGTGAAGGGTAACCTCACCTTAAAAAGTTTCTTGTTATTTAGATAAGACACACATGCCTAAGACCAAACATCCTACAGTAAGCATACCTTAGACATTTAGGTCTTATGACTTTAACCTTGGAACAGTAAGGATAGTTTTGAACTCTGACCTTAAGCCAAGATGAAGTGAAGTCATTTTCATGGACCCTGACAATTCTTTCTTCTAAATTTAATTAATACCTGCGCTTCTGTCACAGGACAGACAACTGTGTCTGTTTAGGTTGTCTTCTTTCACCTTCCAGCCTTACCCATCATTAGAACACACATTCCATTATGTGTGACCTGTCTTCGGTCACCTGGAAGCAAAAAGATCTTACCTATGTTTGACTACCAGTCTCTGCAATTAGGTTAGGTGATAGTGGGTAACTTGATGCCATGTACCTCTGAGCTAACTTTTAGTTCACAAGCAAGCTTGATAATGCTAAGCAATACATATGCTTTTATGGCTACAATATGTCCTATAAAAGTAAAAGAAATAGAGTTTAAAAGTACACAAAGAGTCTGGATACGGTATGTTATTGTGTTGTCTTTGAATTGTTTGACTGCTGAGGAAGGAGCAACAGCTGTTAAAAGACATTTGATTATAAGTGCTGCTGGATTAATCCAACCTGAATATTTTGAAAATGCCTTGACTTCAAAGTTTAAGTCTAAGGATTTGTTACTTTGGAAAAGAAGTTCTGCTTTTATTTCTACAGAAGATGAAAAGCTGTGGTTTGATTAAGCAAGACCCCCTCAAGCAGTGGCCCAGGTGATCCAATATCATAAATAGCTGAGACCATGCAGACTCACAGACTACTATAACCAGGATTTCGACAGGGTTCTTGTTTTTTTTCAGGATCCCCTTTGGATTGATAGTACCCTGAAACAGCAGGAAGTGGTTTGAAGAGATCTATGCCTGCATTCCCAAATATTGTTTATAAATGTTTGTTTTTATTTAAATGTGGTTGGTTATAAATGTTTAATGGTCAAAATCAATCTCTTTCTAAAGAAAAAAGAATATGATATAGAAATGAACACTTTGCATTGGTTTGGATTTTGGCTTATTGATACAATTTAAGGTCAGTTTTGTTATATGCATATTTCTACTCCTTTTTAGGCTTTCTGTTCATACAGCTCATTTAAAAATATAATGTGTAGTTACAAGCCACAGATTACATAAATAGTCATCTTAATAGTCATAACTTATAGTCATATTAGTTAGTTTTCTAGATATATGGAGATAAATTTGGGATGGATAGTCTTCAAACCTTTCAAAGACCTACAGAATATGGCATTTAAAATGGTTTGTTAACTTAGGATTTTCATGACAGTGAGACACACTGCTCCTGGTAACACCAATTAAACCAGAAAGCAAGATGGGTATCGAAGACACTCATTTTGGAGTTTGCTTTCAACATGGCAGGAATAGTCATTTGGACAAGAAACTGCTCCTGCTTGAACTGCTAGACAGCACACTGTCCAAACTGGACAAGTAGGTTATAAAGAAAAGTGACTGCTGAACTTGCTAAGGAACAGGATGGTCCTTCAAGTTTCCTACTTCATTAAAAAGTTTGCCAGACACTATGGCCTATGGACTGAAGACAGCTTCCCCCAACCTTATAGAGGAACTCTAGGTGACTGTCCAGGCAGTGAAATGTCTCTTTCAATTCCAGAGTTTATATATTATCCTTCTTGGGTCTTTGATGGAGTTGAAGACAGATAGTTATGGTTATGGTTTTCCTAAGTTATGATAGAAGACAAGTTACATATAAAACTTGAGACTCACAAAGGTAATATAGATGATAGAATATTTTCTTTAAGTATTGTCAAATGTTAATGAACTAAATATCGTTAACTATAGTTCTTGCTAACTGTTCCGCTATATATAATTTTAATACATTAAAGTTAAAACCTTCCTTTTTTATTTAGACATAAAAGAGGAGATGGTTGGGGATGCTCTTCTTTATGCTGTGAATATATGTTTCTCTTATTGGTTAATGAATAAAGCTGTTTTAGTCAATGGACAAGCAGGATGTAGCCAGGCAGGAACTATAGGTGGGGCTACCAGACTAGGAGAATTCTGGGAAGAGGGACCCAAAGAGTGAGTTCAGAGAGAGAGACACCATGTAGCTGCTGAGGAAGAAAGAGATCCAGACATTCTCTGGAAAGCCAAGATAATGTGGAGGTACATAGATGAATAGATGAATAGAAATGGGTTAATAATCAAGAGAGAGCTAGCCAATAAGAAGCCTGAGCCATCAGTCCAACAGTTTATAATTAATATAAGCCTTTGTGTGTTAATTTGGAATGGAATGGTGGCAGGACCAGGCTGGATAGAACCATACATCAACAGAGAACTTTATGATGCAAAGGTTCAGGCTTTCTGAGTAAAGGGACATTTCAGTAAGCATCATTATGGTATTGACTTCAACGTGCGATGGTTTTATAAGCAGTTGGTTCTTTTGTACTTGTTCAGCTATGGTTATTTCACTCTCCTCTTACAATTTATTATACATGAATGAGTCTTGGACTAGAATGCAATGCAATATCATCAAATGTTATTGGCCACTTTCACTTGCTGATGTAGGTGTAATTGCAGAATGACCTTTGTAGGATTTATAGGGTTAAAAATAACTTGGTGAATGCTGATGCCTGGGAATCCAGCATGGGACTGATAAAGACCCCCTGAATGTGGGTGTCAGTGAGGAGGCCTAGGTAATCTATTGAGCCTTGAGCAGTAGATCAGTATTTATCCCAGGTATACAAATGGACTTTGGACTCCCATCCAACAATGTGAGATGCACTCTCACCCTGAACTCTTGGGGAGGGTCTAGGCCCTGCCCTGGATTAAATGACAGACTATGGACACCCCCATGGAGGGCCTCACCCTCCCTGGGGAAATGAGGGGATACTGGGGGCGTTGGGGGGAGGGCACGGGAGGAGGGGAGGGAAACGGAGAGAGACCTGGAACTGACTTGTGAAGCAACTTTGTTTCTAATTTAAATTTAAAAATAAATAATAAAAAGATAACTTGGAGAGAGAAAGATCTCTCTCTCTCTCTCTCTCTCTCTATATATATAGAGAGAGAGAGAGAGAGAAGAAGGCAATAAGACATTATTTAGCCTTTGTAATTTCATTGAAAAAAATTTGAAATTCTTATACAGAATAGTTTCCTTTTTTTGCTTTTTAACAATACACCTTTGTGTGTATGCTCATGCAGGTGTCTATGTGTGTACACATATGCACATGCATGTGAGTGCATTCATGGGGAGGTCAGAGATCAGTCTAGGGTATTGTTCTCCTGATGCTGTGCAGTCTTTCACTGATGTCAAACTCTGCAAACAGGCTGAGTTGGCCTGATAGATCTGTCTGTCTCTGCTTCCTCAGCTCTACAATTATAATCTCAGACACACGCCACATTTTTACATGAGTTTTGGGGATTGACCTCATAATCTTTTTTTAAAATAAATTTTATTTAAATTAGAAATAATCTTATTTTGCATATCAATCACAGTTCCCTCTCACCCCCCCCATTCTCTCATGTCCCTCACTGATCCCCTCATCCCATTCCCCAGCCACTCCCTAGGGAGGGTAAAGTCTTCCAATGAGGGAATCATCAAAATCTGTCAAGTCATTTGAGGCAGGACTTAGGCTCTCCCCTGTGTATCTAGGTTAAGAGAGTATTTCTTCATGTCTTGTGCAATAAGTATTTTGCAAACTGAGCCATTTGCCCAGTCCTAATAAAACACACTGTAAAACTTAGATTTAAGCATGGGATATTAAGAGACAGAGTAAGATACACCCAAGTGTAGGTGTGGATTTTTTAAGGTAATGTCACCTTTTTTTTATACTAGCTATATATACCATTCAAGTGAAGTTATTTTCTTCAAAGGTTAATAAGATATCTAAATAAGTTCATGGAGTGGTTTCTGATACAGTGAAACTATTTCTCAGGGATCCATGAAACAGGACATCTTAACTGTACACAAAGTTAACACTCTTGTTTGAGATGCCCAGAAAATATGTGGGAAAATAAACAATGTTTCCAAAGGTATAGATATGCCAGGACTTAGGACGAATTTATTGCTGTTTTAACACAATATATCTGAATATGAAAGGAGTGATATAATATTATGGTAAACACAGCACACGCTGCCAACTGTGCTGGAATTCTTGATTCTCAGCTGGTAAGAGGCTTCAACCAGACACCAGAGTAATAGGTTCCATTCCCTCCTGTGTATCATCCTTATAAGTTTTCCTATCTTTCTGCACTGTCTCAATTATGCCTGTGAGTCTTTTGATGAAATCTGAATTGGGAGATATTTTACAGGATCTCTAGTACCAGTGACACAAGGATTTCTCTGGACTGAGCACATTTGGGAGAGGCCCACCTCTGGGGCTGATTGGAAGAGATCCAGAAAAGTTTGAATGGGTTTATCACTACACATACAGAGCAACTCCAAGTAGGAGAAGTTGATTCCCTGAAATGCCATTGTTTGTGTTTGAAATGTCTTTCATTACACAAATACTATTTTTGGTTGCTCCTTTAGGTTCCTAAGGATAAACTTATCAAGGCAGCCGAAATAGCTATAGATGCTGGATTCCGCCATTTTGATTCTGCTTATTTGTATCAAATAGAAGAAGAAATAGGACAGGTCATTAGAAGCAAGATTGCAGATGGTGTTGTGAAGAGAGAAGACATATTCTATACTTCAAAGGTATTTTGTACATGGGATGCTTGTGGGCCTATTTAATGTGGTTGAACTGAGTAGACAATGTGCATTTGGGTTAATCCCTGTCTCATGCATTATTACTTATTGTTGTAACTTTTATTCACACACATTCATATTAAAGATAAGATGAAAAATAGATAAATGTGTCATTGTTATCACGATGGAGTTAAAATTTATGGCTTTCATGCAGTTCTGAATCTCAAGTCAAGGCAGTGTTGGTTACCACAAAATGTAGAATCAGAGCTTGGCTATGATTCAATAGTGACCATTGCTGAGGAATTGAAGACTTAACAGAACCAGGAGGCTGTAGGTTATGCTACTCTGGGGTGGCCTTTACTAGCATTCTGTGGAGCTTTTAATTCAATTAACTCGGGGAGAGAAACAATGAAAAACAAAACATTTCTCATCACCATCACCAATGTGCTCAGAAGACAGAATGTCATGAACAAATAGGGGTTGTTTGCACAATACCCCTGAGCACACTAAGCTTCATTGTTGAGGAGGGGAAAAGGAGGAGGCATCTTGCCTGAGATATTTCTTGGGCAGGTGGAGTCTTTTGTCCTAGGGTAGTAAATAAAGTTCTATGGGAGCAGAGTTCACACAGAAGGCTAGTATATGAAAGTCTATTATATGCAGGTTATAGGGTCTTTAAGAACCATAGCTCTAATATTAAAGCAAATAAGAAACAGTTTATTTTGGAGCCATTTTGAGTAACTACTGCATAGGAACACAGATTTAGGTTACCCCAAATTCTATGTTCCAACATTGAAGCAGTTTCATGAAGTTTTATATTTTTTACAGAACAGAGAATTTCATTAATCAATGCACATTTAAAATACATTAGTGTGTATATTAGAGAGGCAGGTACATTAAGATGGGGGAAATTTTGTATAGGCTTAATGTGCTATTAATGACATTCTTAGCTTTTGGATTGGTGGAAGCTAGTTGCCTGATAAGTTAATATAGTCTCAACAATTTTTTTATCTATTAGACACAAGATGTTCTGATACAGAGGTGAACAAGAAATGGCTGTTCTAGAGGGCTAGCCTGAGATAAACCTCTGGACCTGCAGCATCCCAACCTCACTCACCACAGTACTAAAGTTCCAATCAGTCAGTCTCTGCAGACACAGCTTCTTTTCGGGAGATTTGTTCATAAAGGGCACAATTAAAATTTATTCAGTTAAGTTCAGCACACACTAACTTGCCTCCAAAAGGGATTTCCTTCAGCCTTCAGTTATGTGTATTGAATAAGTAGTACTAGCGCTTCCTGCATGGTTGAATGCATTAGTGATTAGACCAATCCATGTATTACTTTGAAAACTCAGCATTATTATTAGAGAAAACAATTCTTTCTCTTTAAATATTCCATTCCATGTTCAGTAAGTAAACTGATAATAACAAAGTATAAAATGATGTTTTACATAGCTAAGTGGCAGGGCATTGAACTACACACACAATGAACTTTATATGTGAAAAAGCAATAAAGAGAAAGACAGGACTGTGCTTCCAACTGTAGAAAATTGTTTCCTTGTTAGATAAAGTAATCCAACAACAGTAGATGAACTCTGAGTTTACAGTTTCATTCTTTAACTTTGACAGCTTTGGGGCACATTCCATCGACCAGAATTGGTTCAATCTTGCTTGGAAATGTCATTGAAGAAAGCTCAATTGGACTATGTTGATCTGTATATTATTCATTTCCCAATACCTCTGCAGGTGAGCAATCATTGTATTCAAAATTATTTTATTAGTGATGCCCATATATAACCAACAGTTATGTGGAAATTTAAGATTTATATTCTTGAGTTAATGTACAGGTTATTCTGATGAAAATCATAAATAATTTCCAAGTCTCAATATGCATAGTTATTTTTCAAGCCTTGATACACTGCTTTCTGCTTGTGAAAGAAGATAATTTTGGGTTAAAATCAGGGTTTTCGATTTGGTTCCATTGGTCTACCTGCCTATTTTTGTGCCAATACCAAGCTGTTTTCAGGACTATAGATCTATAATAGAGCTTGAAGTCAGGTATGGTGATGCCTCCTGAAGTTCCTTTATTGTATAGGGTTGTTTTGGCTATCCTGGGCCTTTTGTTTTTCCATATAAAGTTGATTAATGTTCTTTCCAGGTCTGTGAAGAATTGTGCGGGAATTTTGGTAGGGATTGTGTTGAATCTGTAGACTGCTTTTGGCAAGATTGCCATTTTTATTATGTCGATCCTACCAATCCAAGAGCATGGGAGATCTTTCCATTTTCTGGTATCCTCTTTGATTTCTTTCTTTAAAGACGCAAAGTTATTGATATACAGGTCTTTTACTTCCTTGGTTAACATTATCCCCAGATATTTGATGCTGTTTATGGCTATTGTAAAGGGTGAGGTTTCTCTGATTTCTTTCTCAGTCACTTCATCGTCTGTATATAATAGGGCCACTGATTTTTTTGAGTTTACCTTGTATCTTGCCACTTTGCTGAAGGTGTTTATCAGCTCTAGGAGTTCCCTTGCAGAGTTTTTTGGGTCACTTATGTAAACTATCATATCATCTGCAAATAGCGAAAGTTTGACTTCTTCTTTTCCTATTTGTATCCCCTTTATCTCCTTTTGTTGTCTTATTGCTGTAGCTAGGACTTCAAGTACAATATTGAAGAGATATGGAGAGAGTGGACAGCCTTGTCTTGTTCCTGATTTTAGAGGAATTGCTTTGAGTTTCTCTCCATTTAGTTTGATGTTAGCTGTTGGTTTACTGTATATTGCCTGGGTTACCTATGGGGTCCTGAGCAGTGGATCAGTGTTTATCCCTTGAATACTAACAGACATCGTGTGTCCATAACACAAAGAGGGTTGTTCTCTCTGCCTGGACTCTTAGGGAAGTGCCTGGACCCTATCCTGAGTGAAATGATAGACTCTAGATATCCCCTATACAGAAGGAATTGGCAATAGGGTGGGAGGATGGGGGGGGATGGTGGGGGGTGCGGGAGGAGGAGAGGGAGAGGGAACTGGGATTGACATATAAAACAAGCAATTTAAAATTAAAATAAAAAAGTAAAAAAGAAGATAATTTTGTGGTTTTCTGCATTAGAAACTTGGTAAAATCACAATAACCATAATCAAGGCATAGTTCTGATTTGTTCCCTGTGGGTTTTTTTTTTGGTGTGTGTGTGTGTGTGTGTGTGTGTGTGTGTTTGTGTGTGCATTCATGTATGAAAGCACACTTGTGTTTGGTTGCTCATGCACGTGTGTGCTTATTCATATAAAAGACAGAAAACAGTCACTGTTGCTGTTTTTTTAGATGTCGTCCATAATTTGCTTAAATCAAGGTCTTCTAATGGCCTAGAAATCTGTATAGGCTAGATTGACTAGACAATTAGCCCCAGGAATCTACCTGTCTCTACCTTCCCAGTCCTAGGATTGCAAACATGTACCACTGCACCTGGCTTTACACTGTTTTCTGCTTGTTTTACATAAGTTTTGAAGGTCAAACTCAGGTCCTTAGGCTTTCAAGTACAATGCTTTACCTATTAAACCATCTCCTCAGTTCCCCTTCATTTGTTGAAGGTGTTTACACGCAGTTTTGGAGATTAGTAAAACAGCCACACATATGTCTCACAATGAGGTCACATCATCTCTCACAATTGCACTTTGAAAGCAGATCTGGTGGTACTCAGTTTGGGTGGGTGTCCTAGTTAGTTTTATCTGTCAACTTGACATGGCCCAGGGCCATCTGAGGGGGTCTCAGTTGGGGCCTGAGGGAAGTACCATCCCTCTGCAGGTAGTCCTGGCCTGTATAATGAAGCCAGTTGATGAATGAGGAAGGGAGAAAACCTGTGAGCCACATTTCTCCATGTTTTCTGCTTCAGTTTCTGCTTGAATCACTACCGTGACTTCTTTCAATGATGGATTCTGATCTGGAAGTATAAGACATCAAATAAACCCCTTTCTTCCAACTTGTTTTGGGTCATGGTGTTTATAATAGCAACAGAAAGCAAACTCTAACATCTGGTTCTCATACTACCAGCCCTTGGAGATTTGGTGACCAGACATTCTTTCTCTTGATAGTTTCATGGTGGTGGGGTTTTTTAGATGGCATTTACCCATTAATAACTTGCTATGCAGAATTCTTATGAAAATTACGTGAAAAACTTAAGCTAGTTTGTGCAATGGAGGCTATCACATTACATAACTGAGAAGTCCAAGACATGACTACATTTAAAAGTATGAAAAACATCAGCTTCAGAAATATTTACTCAATTCCTTATCTCTACATACTGTTTATTTAGCATGGCACTATCATTTGCTATTGATAGAAGATATGGTCTGTGACAATTAAAAATTCATGATTGGTAAAACTTGAGAGCTACTCTAGCTTTCCAACCTCCATTAATCCTGAAAAGAAAGTCTGTGTGATGGCCCAATTTGATTGTGCTTGCCCTCATACAGTTATATGTCCACTGAGATAAGGAATGTTTTATTCAAATCATAATCCATTATTGCCAGATACCAAATCCATATAATTATTGGATTTACCAAAGTGATAAAGGAATTTTCCTATAGGGAAATATAGGGGCTGAAATGGTAAATGAAGCCATACAAGATGCCATTAGGACTTTGGAGAAAACCATTTTTTTAATTATAAGGAAAATATAAAAGATTAAGGGATATCAATCTTTAAACTTTAGTCCTTTGTCACTCCAAATGCAAAGCATCTAAAATATTATCTTAGTTACTTGGGAAGGCTTCATGGTCTAGACTCTGAAGGACTTGACAGTCTAACGAAACGTGGTAATGTGACTTCAGTGAAGTCTTTAAAATTAATGATTCTATTCCAGCCTGGAGATAAGATTATTCCAAAGGACGAACATGGAAATGTGTTGATAGACCCAGTGGATCTCTGTGACACATGGGAGGTAAGTCCTTTGAGGGAAGAACGCAGAAGAGGATGTAAGAGGATCAGTCAGGTATGACTTCTACCTGTGAGAATGGAATACATGTTGCTCAATCGAGAAATTTGTAGCTTTCATAAGAGGAGGTTTTGATGGAGTTATTGGAGGAATTCATTGCTGGAAAATGATATGAATGGAGAAGAACTGAGGGCAAGGGTTCGACCAAACGTCACCCATTTCCATTTTTCTTCCCTCCCTCCCTCCCTCCCTCCCTCCCTCCCTCCCTCCCTCCCTCCCTCCCTCCCTCCCTCCCTCCCTCCCTTCCTAGCTCTCTATCATTTACATCCAAGCCACAGTCTCTCTACCCTCTCTCTCCTCCATGTCCCTCTCACCCACCTCCTCCCTGCCTCCTCTATATCCACTCTTTCTCCATTTGTATTCAGAAAAGGGCAGGCCTCTCATGGGACATTGAAAAAAACATGGCATATCAAGTTGTGGTAAGATTAACCACCTAAACTTGTGTTAAGGTTGGGCAAAGCAACCCAGTACGAGGAATAGAACCCCCAAAAAGCCAGCAGAGTCAGAGATAGCACCTGCTCCCGCTGTTAGTTGCCCCACAAAAAAATTAAGCTACACAACTGTCACATATATGCAGAGCACCTAGGTCAGTCCCATGAAGGCTCCCTGGATGGTGGTTTAGTTTCTGTGAGCTACTGCGAGTCCAGGTTAGTTGATTCTGTGGGTTTTCTTGGGATGCCTTGGCCCCTCTGGCTCCTACAATCTTTCTTTCATCTCTTCAGCAGGATTCCTCAACCCTGGCATAAAGTTTGATTGTTGTCTCTGCATCTGTTCCCACTAGTTGCTGCGTGAGGCCTCTCTTATGAATACTGGGCTAGGAACTAATCTATGCATATAGGAGACTTCCCTGAGGCATTGTTACATTGACTTTCTTTTTCTCCCGCCATGTTTGGTTCTATCCTAGGTCTCTGAACCACCCAGCCTCTGGGTCTTGGTGTTGCAGGCAGTGTCAGTGGTGGACTCACTGTCACTCTCCTGGCAGAGGTCTCAGGCTGAACCAGTCATTAATTGGCCACTCCCACAGTCTCTGTGTCACACTCACCCCAGCATATCCTATAGACGGTTCAGACTATAGATTGAAGGTTATGTGGCTGAGTTGGTGTCCCAGTCTTTCCACTGGTAGTCTTTCCTAGTCACAGGAGGTGGCCTACTCAGGATACCTATCCCCTTTGCTAGAGGTCTTAGCTGGGGTAATCTTTGTAGATTCTTGGGAGTCTCCCTGTACCAGGTTTCTACCTAACCCCTAAATGACCTCCCTTGAATCCACTGTCAGTACTTTGCCCCCACCCTCCATCCACCTGATCCCTCATGTTCTCATCTCTACCTGCTCCCAGTCCACCCACAAAATCCCTTTCTCGGAAGATCCAAGTGTCCTCTTGAGCTTTCCTTATTATCTAGCCTCCCTGGGGTATGGGAATTGTAGCATAGTTATCCTTTATTTTACAGATAATATCCACTTATAGCACACCACATTTGTCTTTCTGCATGTGTGTTACCTCACTCAGGATGATTTTTTTTCTAATTCCACCCATTTGCCTTCAAATTTCATGGTGTCTTTGTTTTTTAAAACTGAGTAATTCTCCATTGTGTAAATGTACCACATTTTCTTTATCCAGTTTTTGGCTGAGGGACATCTAGGCTGCTTCCAGTTTCTGGCTATTATGAATAAAACTACTATGAACATAGTTGAAGAAGTGCCCTTGTGGTATGATTGAGTGTCCTCTAGGCATATGTCCAAGGGTGGTATAGCTGATTCTGGGGGTACATTGATTCTCAGTTTTCTGAGAAACCACCATATTGATTTCCAAAGTGGCTGTATGAGTTTGCATCCACTCCAGCAATGGAAGTGTTACCTTTGCTCCATGTTCTTTCTAGTATGAGCTGTTGCTTGTGTTTTTGATTTTAGTCATTCTGTAAGGTGGAATCTCAGAGTCATTTTTATTTGTATTTCCCTGATGGCTAAGTGTAGATGGAAGTTTCTGTCTTGCCCTGTCCTCCAGCTGTTCAGTCCCAAATAAACACAAGAGACATATATTGATTGTAAACTGTTAGGCCTATTGCTCAGACTTATTACTAACACCTTTAAAAATTATTTTTAAATTTAAATTTAAATTAGAAACAAGGTTGCTTCACATGTCAATCCCAGGTCCCTCTCCCTTTCCTCACCTCCTCCCACCAACACCCCCAATATCCCCTCATTTCTCCAGGGAGGGTGAGGCCCTCCATGGGGGTGTCCATAGACTGTCATTTCATCCAGGGTAGGGCCTAGACCCTCCCCCAAGAGTCCAGGGTGAGTGTGTATCTCTCATTGTTGGATGGGCACCAAAGTCCATTTGTATGAGAGGAATAAATACTGATCTACTACCCAAGGCCCAATAGATTGCCTAGGCCTCCTCATTGACCCCCACATTCAGGGGGTCTTGATCAGTCCCATACTGGATTCCCAGCCATCAGTCTGGGATTCAAGAGCTAACCCTTGTCAAGTCAACTGTTTCTGGGGGTTAAACCAGCCCAGTCTTAATTCCTTTGCTCATCAGTCCCCCCTCTCTGTCACTGTGTTCCTTGAGTTCAGCTCAGTGTTTAGCTGTGGGAGTCTGCCTCTGCTTCCATCAGCCACTGAATGAAGGTTCTGTTTCCTAGACTCTCTGGCTGTGGGACTGTAGGCTGGCACTCCCCTGATTCATGTCTAAAATTGATAAATGAATGAGTACAAACCATGTTTCTCTTTTTGTGACTGGGTTTCTTCTAGTGCCTTCCATTTGCCTGCAAATTTCAAGATTACATTTTTTTTCCACTGAATAGTACTCCATTGTGTAAATGTACCATATTTTTTCTATCCACTCTTAAGTTGAGGAGCATCTAGGTTGCTTCCAGGTTCTGGCTATTACAAATAATGCTGCTATGAACATAGTGGAGCAGACATCCTTGTTGTATGAATGCGCACCTTTTGGACATATGCCTAAGAGTGGAATTGCTGGGTTTTGTGGTAGACTGATTCCCATTTTCCTGAGAAATCTCCATACTGATTTCCAAAGTGGCTTTACAAGTCGGGACTTCTACCAGCAGTGGAGGAGTGTTTCCTTTCTCTACATCCTCTCCAGCTTCAACTGTCCTTGGAGTTTTTGATTGTAGCCATTCTTACAGGAGTAAGATGCTATCTCAGAGTTGTTTCAATTTGCATTTCCTGGATGACTAGGGATGTTGAGCACTTTCTCAAGTGCCTCTCAGCCATTTTAGTCTCCTCTATTGAGAATTCTCTATTTAGTTCTGTACCCCATTTTTTGATTGGATCCTTTGGTGTTTTGGAGACTTGCTTCTTGTGTTCTTTGTAAATTTTGGAGATCAGGACTCTGTCAGATGTGGTGTTAGTGAATATTTTTTCCCACTCTGTGGGGTTCCTTTTTGTCTTGCTTACTCTGTCCTTTGCCTTACAGAAGCTTCTCAGTTTCAGGAGGTGCTACTGGAGTTATGTTCAGGAAGTTTTCTCCTGTACCAATTCGTTCAAGGGTGCCTCCCACTTACTCTTCTAACAGGTTCAGTGTGGCTGGATTTTTGTTGAGGTCTTTGATCCATTTGGACTTAATTTTGTGCATGGCAATAGACATGGATCTATCCACATTCTTCTACATGCCAGCATCCAGTTATTCCAGCACCATTTGTTGAAGATGCTTTCTTTTTTTCCATTGTATATTTTTAGCTTCTTTGTTGAAAATCAGATGTTCATACATGTATGGGTTAATCTCAGGGCTTTCAATTTGATTCCATTGGTCTACCTGTTTATTTTTGTGCCAATACCAAGCTGTTTTCAGGATTATAGCTCTGTAATAGAGCTTGAAGTCTGGGATGATGACGCCTCCAGATGTTGCTTTGTTGAATAAGGATTTTTGGCTATCCTGGGTCTTTTGTTTATCCATACAAAGTTGATTACTGTTCTTTCAATGTCTGTAAAGAATTGTGCTGGGATTTTTAATATGGATTGTGTTAAATCTGTATATTGCTTTCGGTAAGATTGCCATTTTTACTATGTTGATCCTATCTATCCAAGAGTATGGGAGATCTTTCCATTTTCTGGTGTCTTCTGTGATTTCTTTCTTTAAAGACTCAAAGTTCTTGCTATACAGGTATTTCACTTGTTTGGTTAGCGTTACCCCAAGGTATTTTATTTTGTTTGTGGCTATTGTAAAGGGTGATGTTTCTCTGATTTCTTTCTCAGCCCTTTTATTGTCTGTATATAGCAGGGCTACTGATTTTCTTGAGTTGATCTTGTAGCCTGCCACTTTGCTGAAGGTGTTAACCAGCTGTAAGAGTTCCCTGGTAGAGTTCTTTGGGTCATTTATGTAAACTATCATATCATCTGCAAATAGTGAAAGTTTGACCTCTTCCTTTCCAATTTGTATTCCCTTGATCTCCATTTGTTGTCATATTGCTCTAGCTAGAACTTCAAGTACAATATTGAAGAGGTCTGGAGAGAGTAGACAGCCTTGTCTTGTTCCTGATCTTAGAGGAATTCCATTGAGTTTCTGTCCATTTAGTTTTATGCTGGCTGTTGGTTTGCTGTATATAGCTTTTATTATGTTTAGGTAAGTTCCTGTTATCCCAGATCTCTCCAAGACCTTTATTGTGAAGGGGTGTTGGATTTTGTCAAAGGCTTTTTCAGCATCCAGTGAGATGATCATGTGATTTTTGTTTCTAAGCATGTTTATATTGTGGATTACATTGATGGATTTTCATATATTGAACCAACTCTACGTGCTTGGGATGAAGCCTATTGGATCATGTTGGATGAGTTTTCTGATGTGTTCTTGGATCCGATTTGCCACTATTTTATTGAGTATTTTTGCATCAGTGTTCATGAGGGATATTGGTCTCAAGTTCTCTTTCTTAGTTGTGTTTTTGTGTGGCTTGGGGATCAAGGCAATTGAAGCCTCATAGAAAGAGTTTGGCAAAGACCATTCTGCTTCTATTGTGTGAATATTTCCAGAAGAATTGCTATAAGCTGTTCTTTGAATTTCTGGTAGAATTCTGCACTGAGGTCATCTGGCCTTGGACTTTTCTAGTTGGGAGACTTTTGATGACTGCTTCTATTTCTTTAGGGGTAATCGGTCTATTTAAATTGTGTATCTGTTCTTGATTTAATTTTCGCAAGTGATAGCTTCCCAGAAAATTGTCCATTTCCTTTAGATTTTTAAATTGTGTGGAGTATAGTTTTTCAAAGTATTACATGATGATTCTCTGGATTTCCTCAGTGTCCATTTTTATGTCTCCCTTTTCATTTCTGATTTTGTTAATTTTCATGTTCACACTCTGTCGGTTGGTAAGTTTGGATAAAGGTTTGTCTATCTTGTTGATTTTCTCAAAGAACCAACTCTTCGTTGCATTGATTCTTTGTATTGTTTTCCTAGTCTCTGCTTTATTGATTTCAGGCCTCTATTTTATTATTTCCTGGCATCTACTCTTCCTGGGGGAGTTTGCTTCTATGTGTTCTAGAGCTCTCAGTTGTGCTGCTAATTCTCTAGTATAACTATTCTTCAGTTTCTTCATGTGGGCACTTAAGGCCATTAATATTTAGGGATATTAATGACCATTGACTGCTCATTCTTGTTTGTTTTGGAATAGTTGATGGTGGTGGAATTAAATGTGAATTTCCACATCTTTTCTCTTGGCTGTTGGTAAAGTGGGATTATGTATTGCCTATGTTTTTCTGGTTGTAGTTAACTCCCTTGAGTTGCGGTTTTCCTTCCAGAACTTTTTGTAGGACTGAGTTAGTGGATACTTATTGTTTAAATCTGGTTTTGTCATGGAATATCTTGATTTCTCCATCTATAGTGATTGATAGTTTTGCTGGGGTATAGCAGTCTGGCCTGGCATCTGTGGTCTCTTTGTTTTGGTATAATATCTATCCAGGATCTTCTGGCTTCTAGATTTTCCTTGAAGAAATCAGGTGCGATTCTGATAGGTTTGCCTTTGTATGTTACTTGGCCTTTTTCCTTTACTACTCTTAATATTCTTTCTTTATTCTGTATGTTTGGGGGTTTTACTATTATGTGGCGAGGGTATTTCCTTTTGTGGTCCACTCTATTTGGTGTTCTGTAGGCTTCTTGTACTTTCATTTTCATGCCTTTCTTTAAGTTGGGAAAGTTTTACTCTATGATTTTGTTGAATATGTTTTCTGTCCCTTTGAGGTGGATTTCTTCACCTTCTTCTATACCTATTATTCTTAGGTTTGGTTTTTTCATGGCGTCCCATATTTCCTGGCTATTTTGTGTTAGGGATTTGTTGGACTTAAGATTTTCTTTGGTCGAATCTATTTCCCCTAGTGTATCTTCAACACATGATATTCTTTCTTTCATCTCTTGTATTCTGTTGGTTATGCTTGTATCTGTAGTACCTGACCATTTGCCCAGCTTTTCTATTTCCAGCATTCTTCAGACTATGTTTTTTTTAATTGTTTCTATTTCAGCTTTCACCCCTTGTACTTTTTGAATTGTTCCTTGTAATTTTTGCTTTGTCTTTTCCTCTCTTTCTTGCATTTGTTGAAGTTTTTGGTTTGTCTTTTCTTCCATTTCTTGCATTTTTGCATATTTTGGATTTTTTCCTCCATTTCTTGCAATTCTTGTATTTTTTGCTTTGTTTTTTTCTTCCATGTCTTTAAGATATTTTCTCATATCTTCTTTGAGAGCCTCTATCATTTTCATGAAGTTGCTTTTAAAGTCTTTCTCATCTGCTTCTTCTGCAATGGGCTGTTCAGGTCTTGCGGGTATAGATTCTCTAGGTTCTGGTGGTGTCATATTGGTTTTTTTCTGTTGGTGGGTGTGCAGAAGGAGTCTCTTCCTCCCCTGGTGGGTATGTGACCCCTTTCTGGTGGGTGGGAGCAGGTCCAATACCCTGGTGGCTTTCCTCTTGTATGGATGGAGTCTGTCCTAGTATTGGGATCTTAGCAAACTCGGTACGCTGGACCCTTGCCTTGCCTGTCTCATGGGTGGAGACTGGGACTTGGAAGTTGGCAGTCTCTGGGTGGGCTGAATCCTGTTGGTGTGGGACTCAGCTCTGCTGTCTGCAGTCCTCAGGTCTCCGGTAGTTCTGCTCAGGCTACGAGAAAGCAGGCTGGAGACAGGCCCATACTTATGTCACCTGACCTTTGGGTGGAGAATGGACTTGAAAGATGGCAGTCTCTGGGCAGGCTGAATCCCATCGGTGTGGGATCCTGATCCACTGTACTCCGTCCTTAGGTCTCCGGCGTTTCTGCTCAGGCCACTGGAAGTTAGGCTTGCCTCACCTCCCCTGTCCCATGGGTGGAGACTGGGACTGGGAAGCTGGAAGTCTCTGGGTAGGCTGAATCCTGTTGGGCTGGGATCCAGCTCTGCTCATTGTTTGTATTTTTATACTTACTTTTAGGTATCTGGATTGGGAGTGATTATAGGTGTAGGTGCCAATTTCAGAATTTATCTTTGTTGGGTGGATGTTTCCTTCCTTAGATTTTGTTTCCTCTCTAGTCTCCTAAAGACGATATTCAATGCAGAGAGAGAGAGTCGCACAAACTAGGAGTTAGAAGCCTGGCTGGCTTCCAAGAGAAAAAAGGGAGGTTCCTTTTCCTTTCACTTCCTTTTATATCTACCTGTGTCAGTTTACATGTCCCCACCCTCATGGGCGGATAGCTTTGTGGGGTTCACTCCTACAGTCTCCTATATCCTGTGGCCTGTGGTTGAGTAGATGATCTTCACTCACATTAGGGGTTGGACTTATGATGTCCTGGATGGCCTCTTGTCCAGCAGGGGGTTGCTGCCCCAAGTTTTTGGCTGATGTTCTGGTTAGGTATGTGCATGGCTTCTGATCTGGCTGAGGTCCTCTGGGGTCCAGATGCTGGACTAGCTACTCATGGAGAAGGAGATTTCTGCCAGGTTTTCAGGGAGTAAGCCTGGTCTTTGGGGTTCACGAAGTTGGTCTGGCCTCTGGGGATCAGGGTTCTGGCCTGGACTCTGATAGGGTAGAAGGCTTCCACCAGAGGTGTGAGCCAGGATATGGTGATAAGGAGAGGAGGGGTAGTTGGAGTTATGCTGGTCAAACACAGGTGGGATGGGGGGGCAGTATTACCTGGGGTTCAGGTTGCTGGTCTGGTTTCTGGGGATTGGATGGCTAGGTATGGGATAGGAGGTGGTGATAAGGATAGGTGGAGTGGTTGGGGTTATATTGGGCAGGCATGGGTGGGGTGGAGGGTTTTACTTGGGGTCCAGGTTGCTAGCCTTGCCTCTGGGGAGTGGAAGGCTTCAGCTAAAGGTGTCAGCAGGGATCACATGGCAAGGAGAGGAAAGGAACTTGAGCTTATGCTGGTTGGGGCAGGTGGGAGTTGGTTGGGGTGGAGGCTTACCTGGTTTTCAGGATGCTGGCCTGGCCTCTCATGTCACCTATTTCCTAAGGACACAGGAATTGTTTCTTGCTTTCACTTCCTCTGCTCCTTAGTTTCTCTACAAATTCTCCCTTTCTAGACTGTCAAAGCCAACATTTCTTGAAAGTAACCCTTTTAACACCACTTCTTAGACAAACTGTACAATTTATCCTTTACTGTCTCTTCCATATCAGGCCATGGAGAAGTGTAAGGACGCAGGACTGGCCAAGTCTATTGGGGTGTCCAATTTTAACCGCAGACAGCTGGAGATGATCCTGAACAAACCAGGGCTCAAGTACAAGCCTGTGTGCAACCAGGTGAGCCCTTTCTACTCCTTGATCTTTTATGCCTACATTTGTTCTTCTTGTACCACTAACTCATATCTATTTGTTGTCTAGTCCTGTTCATTTTACCTTCATTGGGCAGAACTTTAAAAAGTTTAATCTCTTTGAGAGGACATAGAAGTCCCTTCATTAGCGGTATGAGAAAGATGGTGGTGCATTAGGGGCTAGCTTAGGGTTAATTGGATACAAAAATAGATCAGGAAAAGACAATCAAAGGAGGCAGTGGTAATAATGTGGCCTTTGAGAAGAAGACACCCTTCTCATCTATGAGAAACAATTGGATGAAGAAAGATGCTGTGGAGGGAACTGTGTACAGAAAGAAAGGTCCTAGAAAGAGTGTGGGCAGTAAAGAATGATGGAGCCAAAGTAAAAGATCGATGGTACAAACATACATGTTAGATGGTTGTGTCCTTGGTTCTGACACCTCTGATTTCAGATGTATTAACTACAATCATAGGTATAGGGAAATTAACTGGGAGCTATCAGATTCATCTAGATTTGTGAGATATCCTACTTAGTTATAGAGAAATCATGATGGGAATTTTGGACAGAGCACTTTGAGGTGTCCTTTTGCCAGACCACACACATCATAGTCTACTCCTTTCTGCTTTCTGACAGCAAATCAACTGTTTACACACACACACACACACACACACACACACACACACACACACACACACACACACCCCAGTACATATGTTGAAGTCAGAGGACTACTGGAATTGGTTGGTTCTCTCTTTCCAACATGTGGGTCAGTAGGAATTGAAATCGGGTCACTAGGTGTGATATTAAGTACCTTGACCTGCTAAGCCATTTTACCAGCCCCTTTAAATTTTCTTACATGATACTTTGCTATATTTTATTTTACACATAATTATAAAAGTCAATTTTATATGATATAATGTAAACATTAATAGTTTGCCTATGACTACTGATGTTGTAATTGAACTGCCACAGTGAAAGCCAGCATGAGCAAATGGATTTGTTTACTTTCTGTACTATGATGGACTTATGGATTTCCTTCCTGAATATAAATCCTATCAGGCTGGTTCTTTTGTTGTCACAATCCCATCATGAGCCTTTGGCCAAATTCTTGTTTCTACTGTGATTTAGTATTGAAATTTACAAGTTCATTTTTCTTATTCCAACTATGACATCTGCCAAGGCCTCATGAATTGGAAAAGATTATTTATCATTCAAAAACTGTTCCATAGAATTATTTCTTCTCAGATATACATTTAAAAAGCTTTCTACAAGAAAGAGGAATTCGAAAATTTAAAGGAAATGGACGACTACCTGGATAGCTATCACTTGCCAAAACTAAATCAAGAACAGATAAACAATTTAAATAGACCTATAACCCCTATGGAAATAGAAGCAGTCATCAAAAGTCTCCCAACCAAAAAAAGTTCAGGTCCAGATGGCCTCAGTGCAGAATTCTACCAGAAATTCAAAGAACAGCTTAAACCAAGTCTTCTCAAAGTATTCCACACAATAGAAGCAGAAGGGTCTTTGCCAAACTCTTTCTATGAGGCTTCAATAACCTTGATTCCCCAAGCCACACAAAGATACAACTAAGAAAGAGAACTTCAGACCAATATCCCTCATGAACATTGATGCAAAAATACTCAATTAAATACTGGCAAATCGGATCCAAGAACACATCAAAACAATCATTCACCACGATCAAATAGGTTTCATCCCAGGGATGCAGGGATGGTTCAACATATGAAAATCCATCAACGTAATCCACCATATAAACAAGCTGAAAAACAAAAATCACATGATCATCTCACTAGATGCTGTAAAAGCCTTTGACAAAATCCAACACCCCTTCATGATAAAGGTCTTGGAGAGATGTGGGATAACAGGGACATACTTAAACATAATAAAAGCTATATACAGTAAACCAACAGCCAACATCAAACTAAATGGACAGAAACTCAACACAATTCCTCTAAAATCAGGAACAAAACAAGGCTGTCCACTCTCTCCATACCTTTTCAACATTGTACTTGAAGTTCTAGCTATTGCCATACGACAACAAAGGGGGATGAAGGGGATACAAATTTGGAAGGAAGAGGTCAAACTTTCACTGCTTGCAAATGATATGATAGTTTACATCAATGACCCAAAGAACTCTACCCAGGAACTCTTACAGTTGATTAACACCTTCAGCAAAGTGGCAGGCTACAAGATCAACTCAAGAAAATCAGTAGCCCTACTATATACAGACGATAAAAGGGCTGAGAAAGAAATCAGAGAAACATCACCCTTTACAATTGCCACAAACAACATTAAATACCTTGGGGTAATGCTAACCAAACAAGTGAAAGACCTGTATCGCAAGAACTTTGAATCTTTAAAGAAAGAAATTAAAGAAGCCCTCAGAAAATGGAAAGATCTCCCATGCTCTTGGATAGGAAGGATCAATGTAGTAAAAATGGCAATCCTTCCAAAAGCAATCTACAGATTCAATGCAATCCCCATTAAAATCCCAGCACAATTCTTCACAGACCTTGAAAGAACAATAATCAATTTTGTATGGAAAAACAAAAGACCCAGGATAACCCAAACAACCCTGTTCAACAAGGCAACGTCCGGAGGCATCACCATCCCTGACCTCAAGCTCTATTATAGCTTGGTATTGGCACAAAAATAGACAGGTAGACCAATGGAATTGAATTGAAAACACGGATATTAACCCACACACGTACGAACATCTGATCTTTGACAAAGAAGCTAAATATATACAATGGAATAAAGAAACCATCTTCAACAAATGGTGCTGGCATAACTGGAGGCTGACATGTAGAAGAATGCGGATCGATCCATGTTTATTGCCATGCACAAAACTTAAGTCCAAATGGATCAAAGACCTCAACATAAATCCAGCCACACTGAACCTCTTAGAAGAGAAAGTGGGTGGTAACCTTGAACGAATTGGTACAGGACACAGCTTCCTGAACATAACACCAATAGCACAGACAGTGAGATCAACAATTAATAAATGGGACCTCCTGAAACTGAGAAGCTTCTGTAAGGCAAAGGACACAGTCAGCAAGACAAAAAGGCAGCCCACAGAATGGGAAATATATTCACTAATGCCACATCTGACAGAGGGTTGTCCTCCAAAATTTACAAAGAACTCAAGAAGCAAGTCTCCAAAACATCAAAGGACCCAATTAAAAAGTGGGCTGCAGAACTAAATAGAGAATTTTCAATAGAGGAGTCTAAAATGGCTGAGAGGCACTTGAGAAAGTACACAATATCCTTAGCCATCCGGGAAATGCAAATCAAAACAACTCTGAGATACCATCTCACTCCTGTTAGAATGGCTAAAATCAAAAACACCAAGGACAATTTATGCTGGAGAGGATGTGGTGAAAGGGGGACACTCCTCCATTGCTGGTGGGAGTGCCAACTGGTTCAGCCACTTTGGAAATCTATATGGAGATTCCTCAGAAAAATGGGAATAAACATATCACAAGACCCAGCAACTCCACTCTTAGGCATATATCCAAAAGATGCACATTCATACAACAAAGATGTCTGTTCCACTATGTTCATAGCAGCATTATTTGTAATAGCCAGAACTTGGAAGCAACCTAGATGCCCATCAACTGAAGAGTGGATAGAGAAAATGTGGTACATCTACACAATGGAGTACTATTCAGCAGAAAAAAACAATGGAATCCTGAGATTCGCAGGCAAATGGATGACACTAGAAGAAACCATCCTGAGTGAGGTAACCCAGTCACAAAAAGAGAAACATGGCATGTACTCTCTCATATATGGATTTTAGACATAGATCTGGGGAGTGCCAGCCTACAATTCAATGGCCAGAGAGTCTGGGAAACAGAAACTTCATTTAGTGGCTGATCGAAGAAGAGGCAGACTCCCTCGGTTAAGTACTGAGCTGAACTCAAGAAAGCCAGTAATAGAGAGGGAGGACTGATGACCAAAGGGATTAAGACTGGGCTGGTTTAACCCCCAGAAACAGCTGACCTGACAAAGGTTAACTCTTGAATCCCAGGCATCAGCTTGGGAATCCAGCATGGGCCTGATCAAGACCCCCTGAATGTGTCAGTACTAGGTAATCTGTTGAGCCTTGGGCAGCAGATCAGTACCCATCCCGAGTATACACATGGACTTTGTACTCTCATCGAACAATGTGAGGTGCACTCTCACCCTGAACTCTTATGGAAGGGTCTAGGCCCTGCCCTATATGAAATGACAGACTATGGACACCCCCCATGGAAGGCCTCACCCTCCCTGGGGGAATGAGGGGATAACGGGGGGGGGCATGGGAGGAGGGGAGGGAAAGGGAGAGGGACCTGGAACTGACTTGTGAAGCAACCTTGTTTCTTATCTCAATTTAAACTGAAAAATAAATAAATAAAAAATAAAAAAGAAAGAGGAATTAAATTTATTTTGTTAAAGTGATTGCTACTAAATGCTATTTTTGACTTCAAATTTCATGTTATACCCTTTAAAATTTTAAGTTCTTTCATTTTGACATCTCTCCCTTTTGTATTAATACAAAGCCTCATAATCTGACTGTTTCCTATCAGGTAGAATGCCATGTTTATCTCAACCAGAGCAAAATGCTCGACTATTGTCAGTCAAAAGACATCGCTCTGATTGCCTACTGTACACTGGGAAGTTCACGAGACCCATTATGGTATGTAATAAAGTCAACAGTGAATCTCAAATATCATTGTTGAAATACATTTAATTCTATAGCAACTTTCTAGATCTAATTCTCAACTAACTGACTTAGAGTAGCTGGTATTTAAATTTATGAGAAGACTTGAGATGATATTGACTCTGCTTGCCTAAGGAGAACAGTTACATATCTATGGTCTGAATATATACCTGTTTTGTAAGCCTCCTATTCTTAAGGCAATTTGAACTTCTGAAGTTCAGCATTTTACCTTCCCTTCCAGGGTGGATCAAAACAGTCCAGTTCTCTTAGATGATCCAGTTATTTGTGCCATGGCGAAAAAGTACAAGCAAACTTCAGCATTGGTTGCCCTTCGTTACCTGTTGCAACGTGGAATTGTGGTCCTGGCCAGGAGTTTCAATGAAGAGAGGATCAAAAAGTTCATGCAGGTGATGACAGAGTTGTAGGCCTTGAAGCATTGTGAAATAGATCCGGTCTTAGGGCTATTATTGCTGTCATGAAACATCATGATCAAAAACAACTTGGGGAGCAAATTATTTGGCTTATGTTTCCATATCACAGTTCACCATCAAAGTAATTTGTGATAGAAACTCAAACAGGACAGGAACCTGGAGGCAACAACTGATGCAAAGGCCATGAATGAACATTGCTTACTGACTTGCCCTTCATGGCTTTCTTATAGAACCCAGGGCCACCATCCCAGGGATGGCATCACCCACAATGAACTGGGCATCTCTCCTCAATCAATAACTAAGAAATACATTACATCTGGATCTTATGGAGGCATTTTCTCAATCGAAGTTCTCTCCTTTCAGTTAACTCTAGCTTATGTCAAGTTGACTTAAGACTAACCAGGCACATATCCTTGACATGGGTCTTTTGTGATCTTTCAGAACATCTTTGTGTTGTTAGCCTGTTTTTTTAAAAAAACCTTTTTTATTTAAATTAGAATCAAGCTTGCTTCACATGTCAATCCCAGTTCTCTCTCCCTCCCCTTCACCCCACCCCACCAACCTCCTCAACCCCCCACCTAGTTTCCACTCCTCTCCCCAGGGAGAGCGAGGCATCCATGGGGGAATCTCCAGAGTCTGTGATTTCATCCAGGGCAGGGCCTATGCCTTCCCCCATGTGTCCAGACTGAGAGAGAATCCCTCCATGTGGAATGGGCTCCCAAAGTCCATTTGGATGCCAGGGATAAATACTGATCTACTACTCAAGGCCCCATAGATTTCTAGGCCTCCTCACTGACAACCAAATATAGGGGATCTGAAGTCCCATGCTGGCCTCTTAGCCATCAGCCTGGGGTCCATGAGCTTCCCCTTGTTCAAGTCAGCTGTCTCTGTGGGTTTCACCAGCCAGGTCTTGACCTCTTTGCTCATCACTCCTCCCTTTCTGCAACTGGGTTCCAGGAGTTCAGTTCAGTGTTTAGCTGTGGGTGTCTCTCTGCTTCCATCAGCCACTGGATGAAGGCTCTAGGATAGCATATAAGGTAATTGTCAAACTCATTATCAGGGAAGGGCATTTAAGGTAGCCTCTCCACTGTTGCTTAGTTTGCCAGTTGGTGTCATCATTGTAGATCTCTTAGTGCCAGATCTCTCCTCAAAACCTATAATGACTCCCCTCTATTATGGTATCTCTCATCTTGCTCTCCTCTCTTCTTTCCCCAACTCAAACTTCCTCCTCCCCCATGTCCTCCTCTCCCCTTCTCTTCTCCCTCTCTTTTTGCCCCCTGCTCCACTTCCTCTCCACCCATGCTCCCAATCCACTCAGGAGATCCTGTCCCATTACCCTTTTCTGGGGGTACCATACATAGCTCTTTTAGGGTCCTTCCTGTTTCCCAGACTCTCTGGCAATGGGATTGTAGGCTGACACTCCTCTGATCCATGTCTAAAATCCATATATGAGTGAGTACACACCATGTGTGTCTTTTTGTGACTAGGTTACCACACGCAAGATGGTTTCTTGTAGTGCCATCCATTTGCCTGCAAATTTCAAGATTCCATTGTTGTTTTCCACTGAGTAGTACTCCATTGTGTCAATGTACCACATTTTCTCTATCCACTCTTCATCTGAGGGGCATCTAGGTTGCTTCCAGGTTCTGGCTATTACAAATAATACTGCTATGATCATAGTGGAACAGACGTCCTCATTGTTTTGATTTGTATTACCATAATGGTTAAGGATGTTGAACACTTTCTCAAGTGTCTATCAGACATTTTAGATTCCTCTACTGAGAATTCTCTATTCAGTTCTGTACCCCACTTTTTAATTGGGTTCTTTGGTGTTTTAGAGTTTCTTGAGTTCTTTGTAAATTTTAGAGATTAGCCCTCTGTCAAATGTGGGGTTGGTGAATATTTTTTCCCATTTTGTGGGTTGCCTTTTTGTCTTGTTGACTGTGTCCTTTGCTTTAAGACGCTTCTCAGTTTCAGGAAGTTCCATTTATTAATTGCCATTCTCAGTGTCCATGCTAGTGGTGTTATGTTCAGGAAGTGTTCTTTTGTACCAATTCGTTCAAGGGTACTTCCCACTTTCTCTTCTAAGAGCTTTACTTTGACTGGATTTATATTGAGGTCTTTGATCCATTTGGATTTAAGTTTTGTGCATGGTGATAGATATTAATATATCTGCAGTCTTCTTCTTGCCAGCATCCAGTTATGCCAGCACCATTTGTTGAAGATGCTGTCTTTTTTTCTACTGTATAATTTTTGCTTGTCAAAAATCAGTTGTTAGCATGTGTGTGGGTTAATATCAGAGTGTTCAGTTGTATTCTATTTGTCTATCTGTCTATTTAGGAACTAATATAAGTTTTGGCCCAATTGGGTTTAACAGAGATTTATAGAACATTCCATCCAAAAACAAAAGAATATATTTTCTTCTCAGTGCCACATGGAACCTTATGAAAAACTGACCACATACTTGTTAGCTTCTTAAAATTGTGTGTGTGTGTGTGTGTGCACGCACATGTATGCATGCATGTGCCATGATGTGTATGTGGAGATCAGGTGACAGCTTTTCAGGAGTTAGCTTTTCTTTCCACCATGAATTTCCAAGATTGAATTCAGGTCTTCAAGCATGTGCCAGGAGTGCTTTTACTTCCTGTACCATCTTGCTGGCCTGGATTGAGTTTTCTCATTTGCATGATAGTGAGGCTTCTCTATTGATTGGGCTGTTGTAGTACTGTCAAAGCTCTCCTTCATTATAGTTTTCTTTTTATCCTTTAGCTAACTAGCTTAGGATACACTTCATTACTCACAGATGTTGTAGAGGTGGAGTAGTTTAGAAATGTCTGTTATTTCCTTTTATCTGTAAGGCCATTTAAAACCTCTCTCTCTGTGTATGTGTGTATGTATGTATGTGTGTGTGTATGTATGTATGTACAAGCTATGATGTGTGTTTGGATATCAGAGAATAACCTTGTGGGTGTCAGTTCTCACTTTTCACCTGTTTGACGCAGAATCCCTCTTGTACATGGCTGACATTGGGTTTACTGGATTCCCTAGTTAGTTTTCTGTTGCTGGCTTAAAACCATGACTGAAAGCAACTGAGGGGGAGGAAAGGGTTTATGTGGCTTATGCTTCAATATCACAGTCATCTTACCTTTAATAGTTTTATCAGCTGTTTGTATACTGAATTTCTTTTGTCTCCTACCACACATTGCAGCAGTACTATAGATTCATAGAATCATTAGTCTGAATATATTGATTGGTAGCTAGCAATAATAATTTTCATGTTTAATCTATTTCTAACTTAGATAACATCTTTGAAGCCAGTTCCTATTCTGTTTGCATTTGATAATTTATAAATTATACTATATAAAACTTATTTTCTCATTTCTAATGGAATATAGGAGTCTCTGTTCATACATTTTATTAAACTCTATAGTTAAGTTTCAGTTTTAAAAGGTTTTCCAGTATTTGAATTTCATATGTTTCATTTCTGTTTCTTTCCTATTCTCCTTGACTTGTAGGTGTGTGGTTTAATTTCTTATATATAAGAACATGGCTTTATTTCTTTTCCACATATTGGTCCTTAATAGTTTGAATATTTTTCTTGATTTCTTCAAGAGATTTGAAATATGTCTCCTGTGTTTTCAGTATTGCCCCTGAACCACTCTGTTGAATTTACTTGGTTTTCCCAGACTGGCAATATGCAATATAAAAGTAATAAAATTTCTAATTCTGTGACAGGTTTTTGAATTCCAGTTGACTACAGAGGACATCAAAGTCCTAGATGGCTTGAACAGAAATTTAAGATACAATTCTGCACATTTGTAAGTACCTTTGATTGATACATTGCTTCAATTTGTTTTCTGAGTAGAAATGTAATCTATGAAAAGTTACCTTGATACACAGAAGACAAAAGCTAGAGTGAGCTAGGGATTGCCTCCAGAGCTCTTTTCCATTGGTGGAACCAGGTTCAGCTTTACTTGCACATATGCCCTCTGTATGTCTTAATTCACTGAACTTTCTGAATAATGCAATGTGTTTGTTAAAACTAAAGCTCTGTGTAGGCTTCTGTCATCTATTGCTATGTTGTAGGATATATACTTTGCCATAGAGCTGACTGAATTAAATGTTTCTAAATATGAGCTTATGATACCTGCTCTCACATATCTCAGTTCTTTTTTAAATTTTTTTGCTAACCAGATCAAACACCACAGTCTTAGACTCTCATATCTACTCCATATGGAATTGCTAATTATACTTTGTCAATTTGATGTTTTTAATAGATTCAAGTCTCTCAATTTCTTTTCCTGAACATTTGTTTAGCACTCAAATGTCACCTTTGTACAAAATAAGTTGTTTTATCTTTGTGAGAATAGAAACTATTGTTTTACATTTTCAGAAATACAGAGATCTCAATGCAGAGAACAGAGATGTATTAGATTAGTGAGGTAAGAAACAGAAGAAAGATCTTGGAAATATTCCCATTGTTGGAAGAAATTTGAAGCCAACGAATGGTTTCTACTTTTCCTTCCTTCTGTAAGATTGTGGGAACTGAGAAAAGACACACCTTATAAATTAGCTTAGGCAGGAGTATGCTCATGGGAATTTAAATTCACAATAAAAATAATGAATGATGTATGAAGTGAGAATAGCCCGATTAAAAATTGTATGTGCTCAAGAAAATAGCAGATACACCATTAATAATCTTTTAATTAGTATAGAAAAAGTTAAGAATAATTCAAAGATAGAGTGAGTGGCAAGCAGAGAGGAATTATAAAGAATGAAAAGAATGATCTTTGTTAATTATATTTTGTGTCACTAGTCACTAAATTACAAAGTATTCTTCCAGAATAAGGAACTCAAAATTCTTAAATTGTGTATGGTGGTACACAACTATAGCCCCAACATTGGGAGGTGGAGGCAGGAGGGTCAGAAGTTCACAATCATTGTCATCTATATAGTGAGTTTGAGGTCAGCCTGAGATATGTGAGACCCTGTCTAAAAAAATTGAAAAAAGATTTCTATTTATAAACTTAACATGTTACTTACCTGTGTTATCTAGGGTTCCTATTGCTGTGAAGAGACAGCATGATCAAAGCAACATGGGGAGGAAAGGGTTTATTTCACTCACACTTCCATATAAATAGTTCATCATCAAAAGCAATGAGGTCAGGAACTCAAGCAGGGCAGCAACCTGGAGGCAGGAGATGATGCAGAGGCCATGGAGGAGTGCTGCTTATTGGGATGCTCTAGATGGCTTGCTCAGTCTGCTTTCTTATAAAACCCAAGACCATCAGACCATGAGTGGCACCACCCACGATGGACTGTGGCCTCTCACATCAATCACTAAGAAAATGCTCTGTTGGCTTGCAGGTAGCTGGATCTTATGGGGACAATTTCTCAGTTGAGGCTCTCTCCCCTCAGTGACTCTAGCTTGTGTCAAGTTGACATAAAACTTTACAGTACAATATGCAACACACTGTGATTAGTAAAAAGAAAGTGAACTTGTTAGCAGGGACTAGTACACCTTGAACTAGCCTTTAGTACTGACCAACATTTGAACATCCCTTCTTTAAAACAAGGAAGAATCACTTTCTTATATTAGACATTCTTTTTTTCTAATTCTAGTTTTGATGGACATCCCAATTATCCATTCACTGATGAGTATTAACGTGGAGGCTCTTGTCAGAATTCCTACCACAAGATTTGTTTATGTATCATGGCATGAGAGATGTCTTGGATACTGGCGGTTGAACATATCACTTCTTATCAGATCACCTTGTCTCGTCAATTCACTTCTCCAGAGCTGTGTGGGAAGTCTGAAAGATAACATCAAGATTTTTAGTTCAAAGATCCTTGTGTTTTGAAAGACTGATTTATTTTTGCTTTACATATATGAGTGTCTTGCCTACATGTATGTGTACCTAGTGAATGCCTGTGTCTATAGAGGGGAGGAGAGGGTGACAGATCACCTGGAACTGGAGTTACAGATGGTTGCGGGTCACCATTTGGATACTCGAAGACAAATTTGAGTCTTCTGTAAAAGCAGCAAGCCTTTAAAAACTTTGACATTTCTCCAGGCCCTACCCTATAGATTCTTTCCTGCCTCTACTTCTGTTATTTCTTCTGACTCTTGACACCAACCTGATTCACCTAGAAGTCTTGGGCAGGAGATAGGAGATGAGGACAGTCATTTAAGAGACATTTTTCAGTAACAGTTGGAAGAATTTTCAACATTTATGGAGTTAACAGTGAGAAGTAATTGATAAGTAATACTCCTCAAATCTGTTGAGAAAGAAGTGAGTACTTTGCATTTATTCCACTCTTAGTTTGGAGGTGAAGCACATGTGGCAGGGGTGACCAAGAGTCCCAGGCCTCCCTTCATTAATCCAAGGACCAGAGCTCCAAGAGTAAGTTTTCCTTGTGGGAAGGCTGAGAGGCTGGTAAGAAGAGAATCATCTAAAAGAATCATCATAACTCATATGTGGGGAGACTGAGGAAAAAGCTGAACAAGTCTCTGGAAAATACATCTTTTATTTTTTTGATAGGTACATGTTACAGGTAGAAGGAAATTCTACATATTTTATCCAAGACCAAGAGCTAGATTTGATATTTGTATTTTCAAAGGTTTCAGAATTTGCCTTATTGAGCTTTGGTAGGAAAAATTAATTCACATGAATCTAAATTCCATATTCATCAAATTTTCTCGATTTAAAAGTTGATTTGTGAAACTTGATCTTTTATGTTTATAGACAAGCAAGTTAGACTTATAAAGTATCTCCAATATATTAAATTGTGTTGTTATCAAATTAATATTAAAAGGACATATAATTGATGAGATAAATTCTTTAAATTTTCAAAAGTTATTTGAAATACTTTATTTGAATCAGGATATTGTTGTAAAAATTGTTAAATTTTAGCAATATCTTTTTTTTAAATTTTAGCAATATCTTTTGCACAAAGAATATCTTAGAGAAATCAGAGAGGAAAGGTGATAGTGTTGTGTTTACAGAAGATCCAGAAGAATGTGGACATAAATTAAAAATATTATTTACCAAGTTTCAAGGATACAGTTGAACTTGTATATTTCATTAATAAATATCCCAAATAAGAATTTTTGAGACAGTTTCTCATTATATACCCCTGGCTAGTCTGGAACTTGCTATGTACACAAGGCTCACCTGGAACTCATAGAGATATACCCACTCCTGTCTACCTCTAGAATGCTGAGATTAAAGCCATTATACCTATGTATTTGAAGTCTCTTAAAGAAAAGGGAAACATTATCCAAAAGCAATAAAATTACTAGTTACCTATTAATTAACCTAATGAAATATGAATGAATAACAAACTAAAATTCTGTGAAATGTGCTGATACAATGAAGCTGTCATATTCTTATTAATGAATGAAATAAAAATCTTTTATAATGGGTAATGTGAAAATTCTTTAAATGAATTAAACAAGGTATAAAAACTAGGCATTTTATGGACCTACCACAGCCAGGGTCTGCATTGATATTTGTGATTCCTGATACCATAGGAGGTCATATTGATGCCAGGGGTTTGGGTTTTTACCTGGAGCCATGGTGAGGTGACATCAGAGTCCCAGATGCTGCTGGGGCTCATGTCTAAGTCCTTGGTCCTACCACAGCCAGGGACTGTGTTGATGTCCACAGCCCATGGTGCCACCAAAGGCCACACAGATACTCAGGGTCTGGGCTGTAACCTGTGGCCATACTGGTGTCTGAGGGTTTTGCTGCCACCAGGGCCATGCTGATCTGGTTGGCTTGTGCTGCTACATGGGGGAATGGTGTCTTTTGGGTCCCAGGCTCCTGTTAAAGGTCATATCTGGGTTTGTGGTCCAGGAGCATCCAGGGTATGGGCTGATGTCTGTGGCTCCTGCTGCCACCAGGGACTGTGCAGATGTCTCAGGTCTGGGCAGTCACTGGATACCATGTTTGTGTCTGAGGGCTTTGATGCCACTAGTGCCATACTGATTAAGATGGCCTGTGCTGCCACGGAGGCCATGATGTTGTCCAGATACAAGCTGCCACCAAGATTCATGCCTGGGTCTGTGTTCTTGCTGCAGATGGTGTCTGTGAGGATGTCCACGGCCTGTGTTATCAGAGGGGGTCATCACAAGAACCACAATGTTGAATCCTGACAGATGGGCTGAGCTGGCCCCACCCCTCAATGGCCCTGGGATAGCTGGCCATGGTCCTAGTTGGACACTGCAGCAAGAGAGCTGGCTCCACCCACCATGGGTGAACTGGCCCCTGTACTTGGGAAAAATGGCCCCACCCATCACAGGGCAATGGGAGAGCTGGCCCCTATGGCAGGAGCCTAGGAGAGCTGACTCTGTCCCTTGCCTGAGGGGTGCAGTCCCAGTGGCCCAGACCAACTAGCTGAGCTACCACCAAGAACCACATCTTGGGTCTTGGGTTGGCCCACCCTGACATCTACCCGATCTGTGACCTGATGGAGTTCCTGAAGTGCCTCGTCCTGAGGGATAATAATGGCAGGATCTTCATGACTCAGGGCAATCCCAGGATCTGAGGGGAGTTTGTTGAGGGTCCAGTAATGATGGTGTGCCAGAGGCCTGGAACTAGACTAGTGATTTATTGCAGTGAACGCTTTACTGGTGGAAGTAATTGGACAAAAGAGTATACTTGGCAGCACACTGAAGCTCCTAATGCCACTAGGATGAATGAAGAGGTACTAGAAAGACAGAGGAGCATAGTGGGTTTTTTGTTGTTTGTTTTGTTTTGTTTTGAATTATTTTGAGGGATAATTATTCCATTGGGGAGCTTGTTGTAGGGGTAGGGTCAGATATGGACATACTGGTCGGTGAGTGGGATTGGGGTGCATGATGTGCAATTCCCAAAGAATCAGTAAAGAATTATGTTAAAAAAGAAATTATTGCTTCCAGTGCCTGGGGACTGCTACAGAGTCTCCCCTCTCAGCAGGAGCTATGAACCCCAGATTTCTGGTCTTCTCTTCCACCAACGGCATCAGGAGACCAGGTAAACCAGGACCTGTATCCAGGCCTGTCTTCCAGTGCCTGGGGACTGCCAGAGAGCCTCCCCTTCTGGTGGGAGCATGTACCCCAGTTTCCCTGTCTTCTCCACCCACTGGACCAGGCAATTTGGGGTCTGTTTCTGGGCCCATGCTCCAGTGCCTGGCGACTACCAGTGAGTCACCCTCCAGGTGGGAGACTATGCACCCCAGATTCCCGGTCTTCTCCACCCACAGGACCAGGACTAGGACCAGGAAGAGGAGAAATACCAGAGTATTGGACTTGCTTGCATCCACTGAAAGGGAACTCTGGTCTCCTAACCACCAGACCTGTAAGGGACTCTTTCTGCACTCACTAGAAGAAGGGATGGGAAAGAGACAATAAAAAAACACACTCAGCAACAGAAAAATATGACACCGCCAGATTCTACAGACTACACACCAGCAAGACTCCAACATTCCAATGCAAACGAAGCAGAAGAGAATAATCTTAAAAAGAACTTCATGAAAATGATAGAGTCCCTAAAAGAGGATATAGGAAAATCCCTCAAAAAATGGAAGAATAAACAAACCAAAAAATGCAAGAAATGGAAGAAAAAGAAAACCAAGAAATGGAAGAAAATGCAAACCAAAAATGCAAGAAATGGAAGAAAAACAAAACAAAAAACGCAAGAAATGGAAGGAAAAACAAACCAAAAAATGCAATAAATGGAAGAAAATACAACCCAAAAATTCAAAAAATACAAGTGGTCGAAAAGACAAAGCAAAAATTGCAGGTAACAATTCAAACAGTACAAGGGTTGAAAACTGAAATGGACAATAAAGAAATACCACAATCTGAAGGAAGGCTGGAAATAGAAAAGCTGGGCAAACGGTTAAGTACTACAGATGCAAGAATAACCAAAAGAATAAAAGAAATGGAAGACAGAATCTCAGGTGTTAAAGATACACTAGGAGAAATTGATTCATCAACCAAAGAAAAATCTTAAGTCCAACAAATGCCTAACACAAAACATCCAGGAAATATGGGACACCATAAAAATACCAAACCTAAGAATAATAGGTATAGAAGAAGGTGAAGAAAACCACCTCAAAGGGGCAGAAAATATATTCAACAAAATCTTAGAAGAAAACTTTCCCACCCTAAAGAAAGACATGCCAATGAAGGTACAAGAAGCTTACAGAACACCAAATAGAGTGGAACCCAAAAAAAGGCCTCTCACCACATAATAATCAAGACCCCAAATATACAGAATAAAGATAGACTATTAAGAGCAGATAAGAAAAAAGGTCAAGTAACATATATATGCAAACATATCAGAATCAGACCTGACTTCTCCATGGAAACACTGAAAGCCAGAAGGTCCTGGATAGATATTATACCAACACAAAGAGACCATGGATGCCAGCCCAGACTAGTATACCTAGCAAAGCTTTCAATCACTATAGATGGAGAAAACAAGATATTCCATGACAAAACTGGATGCATACAATACATATCCACTAACCCAGCCCTACAGAAAGTTCTGGAAGGAAAACTCCAACCCAAGGAAGTTAACTACAACCAGAAAACATAGGCATTAGAGAATCTCTCTCTACCAACAGCCAAAATAAAAAAGGGGTGAAATTCCACACATAATTCCATCACCAACAACCATTCCAAATCAAAGGAGAATGAGCAATAAATGGTTATTAATATCCCTCAATAGTAATGCTCTTCATCATACCATCCATGCCAACTTGTGAGCTGCCGTGTGGGTGCTGGGAATGGAACCCAGGTCCCCTGGAAGAGCAGCCAGTACTCTTAACTGCTGAGCCACACTGAACTCCAGCCACACTGAACCTCTTAGAAGAGAAAGTTGGTGGTACCCTTGAACGGATTCGTACAGGAGACCACTTCTTGAACATAACTCCAGTAGCACAGTGAGGTCAACAATTAATACATGGGATCTCCTGAAACTGAGAAGCTTCTGTAAGGCAAAGGACACATTCAACAAGACAAAAAGGCAACCCACAGAATGGGAAAATATATTCACCAACCCCACATCTGACACAGGGCTTATCTTCAAAAATGTACAAAGAACTCGAGAAGCAACTCTCCAAAAACCAAGGATCCAATTAAAAGGTGGGCTACAGAACTACATAGAGAATTTCAATAGAGGAGTCTAAAATGGCTGAGAGGCACTTGGGAAAGCGCTCAACATCCCTAGCCATCTGGGAAATGCAAATCAAAACAACTATGAGATACCATCTTACTCCTGTCAGAGTAGCTAAAATCAAAACACCAATGACGGTTTATGCTTGAGAGGTTGTGGAGAAAGGGGACCACTCCTCCACTGCTGGTGGGAGTGCTGACTTGTACAGCACCTTTGTAAATCAGTATGGACACTCATCAGAAAAATGGAAATCAGTCTACCTCAAGACCCAGCAATTCCACTCTTAGGCATATATCCAAAAGATGCACATTCATACAAGGACATCGTTCCACTATGTTCATAGCAGCATTACTTGTAATAGTCAGAACTTGGAAGCAACCTAAATGCCCCTCAATTGAAGAGTGGATAGAGAAAATGTGGTATATTTACACAATGGAGTACTATTCAGCAGAAAAAAAACCAACGGAATCCTGAGATTTGCAGGCAAATGGATGACACTAGAAGAAACCATCTTGAGTGAGTTAACCCAGCCACAAAAAGACAAACATGGTATGTACTCTCTCATATATGGATTTTAGATATAGATGTGGGGAGTGCCAGACTATAATCCCACAGCCAAAGAGTCTGGGAAACAGAACCTTCACCCAATGGCTGAAGGAAGCAGAGGCAGACTCCCACAGCTAAACACTGAGCCTAACTCAAGGATGTTTTGTGTTAAGGATTTGTTGGACTTAAGATTTTCTTTGGTTGATGAATCCATTTTTCCTAGTGTATCTTCAACATCTGAGATTCTCTCTTCCATCTCTTATATAATGTTGGTAATGCTTGTATCGGTAGTACCTGACCGTTTGCCCAGCTTTTCTATTTCCAGCCTTTCTTCAGATTGTGTTTTTTTATTGTCTCTATTTCAGTTTTCAACCCTTGCACTGTTTGTATTCTTTCTTGCAATTTTCGTCCATTTGTTGCATTTTATGATTTTTTTCATTTGTTCTTTCTTCCATTTCTTGCATTTTTTGGTTTGCTTTTTCTTCCAGTTCTTGTATTTTTTGGTTTGTTTTTTCTTCCATTTCCTGCCTTTTTTGGTTTGTTTCTTCTTCCAATTCTTTCAGTTTTTGTTTTGTTTTTTCTTCCATTTCTTGCATTTTTTTGCTTTGTTTCTTCTTCCATTTCCTGCCTTGTTTGGTTTGCTTTTTCTTCCATTTCTTGCATTTTTTGGTTTGTTTTTTTCTTTCATTTCTTTGAGGGATTTTCCTATATCCTA